ATGTTGTGCTATCAAGTTCTGACAATGATTTGATTATTCAAATAGATATTTTATGGACATTTTGATACTTTGTTTCCACTGTGAAAACTTGTCCCAGTTGAAATCCATTGGCAACTGACTAAACTCAAGCTGACCACAGTCCCTGTTCTCCATCTATGAGGAAACATTTAACAGCCACCTTTCAAACCTACAGGGGGTCAGTGTTGGATACTCACTTTAGGTGGACTATCACTTTAAGATGCACAAATACACACTTGCACATTTGTGTATATAGTGCATGTGTGTAAAGTGAGTCTATGAGTCCGGGTTCAGCAGTCCCTCTGCCATGCATACCAATGCTGCTGAATCACTTGATGACTATGGTACAAAAACCTGCATCCAGTTTAACTTTTTACGGTGATTCTATCAACAGCCACGCCTGTCCTCTCTTTGAACACACGTGTGGCCATGTTTTCAGTATCTATCGCTTACAACAGGATGCAGGCAAACACACACACACACAGGTAGAGAACAGGGAAAGAATTAAAGGCTCCTAGTGTTGACTTTGGAGGGGATTAGAAACAGGGAGTGGTTAACTTGAGAGTGTTTATGTCTGTGTTATCATGTAATGAATACTACATTAACTTTATGTATTTCTTTTAAATGTTTATAATCTGTTAGCATTAGTCACTTTTTAAATTAAGTTTCATATAGTCTCATGTGGTTTTTGATAAAGTGACTATTAAAACACTTTAGAAGTCAATCTGGCGTTGCATTTTGAACACAGCAGCATTGTTTATATGTAGAAACAATTTTAATTACTAAAGTTACTATATTTGTGACTTAAAGTGAAATGCCTTCGGTGTACATTTCAGAGTGGTTACATGCATACATAAAGATTTACTGTGTCAAAACACAATCTTAAACTCATGATCAGAGGAGACCAGTAGCACTGGAGGAGACAGAGTGAAGGACTGAGAGTGAAGGGGGATGAAAGACAAGACAAGCCTGGTGAGGCAGGCGAGATGGATGCTTAGACTGAGATGCAAAGACAGACATGCCTCATGCTCGAGTTAGCTGGGGCTTAACATGGATTTTACGGGGATAATTTAAGCCTCTGGAGCAAGATACTTCAGTGAGGTGGAAGATAACTGCATCTTATAGTCCATGTTGTCCTGATAGCCTGGGAAATTCCACCACAGCCTTCTTACCTGTATCTGTTTCTCTTACCCTAGCTACTGTGTGCCTTATAGAAAACAAATTTAAAAGTTTTCAGGACATTTTCATGCTCTCTAGAATTACATAAAATTCTAATTCTGACAAAAGTAAAACATATTATGAAACTGAAAATGGGTAGAAAATTAAAAAAGACTGTTGCTTTCTGTTGATTGGCAATTTCTCGATCCTTTAAAAAGAGAACTGACTACTGTCATACATGCTCTGATGAAGGCTTCATGGTGAAACACGTCAAGAGATTTTGACAGCCTGTTGATTAAAAATAACATCCACCCAAACGATCAATACATCAGGTGATTCTTTGCTGATTTCGATCTCTGTTTCAGCCACCTTTTTTCCTGCCTTTGTCTTTTGGAAATACTGACACCACTACAGTAGATCATTTCACTCACCTTATTAAAATAGACACTGTTGGCCACACCTTCTATATGGCTGCAGGCAAAAAGTACATTTCTGTTTTATTAGGTTTTTGATTGTGTATAATGGAGGTTTTAAAAGACCCCAGGGGTCATGGCATCAAACTTTTAAGACACAAAAGATCTTGCAATCTTTAGGTTCAACCAGTTTGAAAAGTAATTCCCCTTTTCTTTTCTTCTTACCTACTTGTTCTGTTTGTCTAAGAAGATGATATAATGTAATATGTCTTATAACAGTATCTTCTTCATCATAAAATGTATTTCCCAGCATTTTGAGTGATCGTCCCAGTCTTTAATTTTGGTCGATGTTTATATTGTATATTCATTAAATTGTACAATTACAGCTTTTTAAGACATAAACTTTAGCTAAATGCATAAAAACATGTTTAAAACCCCATTATCCATTCAAATGAATTCCTCAGTATATTTTTTTGCCTTTACCCATGTTTTTGCAAAACGATAGAATTATGATTGTGCCATAAAGCACTAGCTTTTGTGACGTACAGGAACCATATAGCTTGATGGCACACAATTTAGGCTTCTCTATTTTCCTTATGTTGTAGTAATTTATTGACGCTGTTACGTATAGCACCTTTAAAATCTCTTTTTCACAACAGTTTAAGAGTGTGTTTTACAGGGCTACAGAGAGGCCCACAGAGAGTTCAGTGTTTCAATAATAAAATATAACTGAAAAGCCCGAGTTGTGTCTTTTTTGTATAGACATGGCTTTTGTACAGTAAGTGGCCATATACATTATGATGTGACTTTCCAAAACGCCTAGGTCGCCAAGCAGCTGCAAAAGGACAACATGTCCTGAAAGCCACAGGCATGGCTCAGAGGACAGAGGGAGGGGTAACGTCTAGACCACAGTACTTATAAGGATCAAAAGAAGAGACGGGAGCTAGAGGTGAAGGGTCAGAGGTTACCACCAACCAATGGGACCAGAAAATGGTGAATCTGAACACAAAAGGCAAGGACTGTGTACTCAAAATGTTGTGCAAGCATAGAGTAAGGACACATGCAGTGTGAGGACAGATAATCACCTAACTTTGTCAAAAAGATGTTTTTTTTTTTTTTTTAGCTGACAACGGTTTAAAGACATTTAGGGGCGGTTTCCCAGACAGAGATTAGGCTAGTCCTAAACTGAAAAGGCCTTTTAACACAGACTAACGGAAATCTGCTTTCTTGGTCATGTAAAATAGTCCTAGACTTCGCCTAGTCTTGAATAAACTAAGCTAATTTCCTAAAGGAAGATTAGTGATACTTCAGGACTAAATTGAGGCTTAAATTAAACCACCCAGGAGGCAGGTTTGACTTTAGATTAATGTTGTTTGTTAAAGAAGACACATGGATTACTTAGAGTATGTTGTCAGTGAAGAACAGCGAATACCACCGGTTAGGCAAGTTCTTGCTGACATAAGTGACCAATTGCAATGTTTTGATGAAATTAGTTTTCGAGAACGTTTTCAAATGCCTGAAGTAAATGCTGTGGAGCTCATTTCACTTTTGGAACCCAGGCTTTCATCTGTTACCCAACGAGGACAGCCTGTAGCAGTTTGTCTGCAGGTGTTTTTGGCATGTTGCACATTTCACAGAGAAACATCCCTCCACTCCAGATGCAGAGGAGTGCAGGAATCGCTAGAACTGGTTTTCCATAAATGTTCAAGGTGTATACACTCCCCAGTTACAGTTTCTGGATCTTCCTTTACTCATCTCTGTATTCTCAGTTTGAAAGAGGAGATCACAAGGGAATATTGCTTGGTGACAGTGGGTATACTCAGAAGATTTATTTGTTTAGACCATACTTGCACCCAACAACAACTGAGCAAAGGCGCTACAACCAGGCTCATTTGCGCACTAGGGATCTGGTAGAGGGCATGTTTGATGTTTAGAAGATGCTGCACTGTCATCTTTTCAACAGCTGTTCTTCACAACTAACTGAAACGGTATGGATGCCCAGATCCCCCAATACAAGAGGCTGACAATCCAGATGTTCCACCATTTACAACAGACCACACAGAAGAAATTGCCTACCGAGATGCTTTTGCATTGTGTCACTTTAAGTAGTTATTTTCGACATTACTTTTTCATACTTCTGCTGGGATCAGATACATTTTCACATGTAATGAGCAAATTGCTGTATTTTAAAAGTAAAACTGCATTTTGTCTGGTATGTTAAAGAAACATCCCAAACATTCAACATGATTTAATTAAACAATTTTTATTTCAGATTCATGCATTGTTGTGATATTTGAGACAGTTGCATCTCTCTCCTTCATCTTCATTTCCAGTTCTACTTGGAATATATTCATTTTCATTTCATGCTCCTTCTAAAGGTACTTTAACTTGTGCTTATGAAATTCAATAGCCAGGTTATCGTGGATTATGACTCTTGTTTTGGTCAACAGTACTGGCAGACACTGCCACCCCTAGCTTCTGAGGATGTGGAGGGTAAATTACCTTGCAACTCTTCAGTTTTGTCCCCAGTTTATATAATCAAATAAATACACATTAAATGGGAAATGTTTAACATCAGATGAAAGAAACAGAAATAAATACAAGTTTGAATGGAGAGTAAGAAAAGGCAAAATATACCCAATGTGTATGTGTGTGTGATTCCTCATCTGATCGGTCATCTGATCGGTCTAGATGGTCATCATCTGGTATGTTCTCCAGAGGTTGGTGGTTCTCCTGTCAGTAAGTTAAGCCTCTCTCTTCGGGCTTCTGGAAACGTTTTAACACCAAAAAAGCCTGTATTGAATTTAATACTGTAATGTCAATCTAGGTAATCAAGTTGAACATTTTTAACCTGTATGTAAGTTGTATTGTTCTTGTAGATGTTTGTTAATTTGCACTGAATTCATTACAGATGGATTCCCATGCATTCCTTTTATTTGATTCCACAGCACGTGTGTGCTGTTTGTCTTCAATGATGGGGTGTCTTGATACTATTATCTTCAAAAGAGTTTTCTCATGCTCACTAAAGTTTTTTGATCACAGTCTCTTTCCTGCTGTCAGACGTTGTTCCAGACGATTTTAGGCTTTTCTGGGTCCGTTCCATGTTTTATAGGCAACCTCAGTCCAGCTAGCGGTGGTTTTAAAAATAATCTTTTTACTTTAGTTGAGTCTTGAGTCTTCCCAACAGCAAATGGCTGCTGCACATCAATTGCACAATATCCACCATATGGAAAGTATGATGCAGGAATAGCATGTAAGCAGGTAGCAATTTAAACAACAGGCACTTGTACTTACAGTTCTATACAGTACAGCTGTGCTTTACGTTTGCCTCAAGGCAGGTTTGTTCAATAAAAAAAGATTAATGGCTGTTAAAGCCGTTTGTCTTGTAAAACAAAGAATGTTAAAAGGAGATAACTCTCATAGTATAGCTTTATTACACTGACAAAGTTGATTTGACATTACATAGGAACATGTACCTTCAGGATTTTTTTTTATGGACAACAAAATCATACAGACACCCACACACAGAACAGACAGTGTTAAGCACATACAAAATGGTGGAGAATCACATGATGAAAGTGACAGCAGTCTTTGAGTATCGTGTGGGGTGGCTCCAATTTGTTCAACTTAATGTTCATTACTGCACAGTGATCTAGCAGTAATGATTAGAAGCTAAATGAGCATCCACTCACGTTTATCGGACATGCTGCAAACCCACACAGATCCCTACGATCACTTCTCTTTATTTACAAAATGGCAGTGGTAGGTGTTGAAAACGAAGGGTTGATTAGGTGGCTTTATTCATTGTTCGTGGCACTATTCGCTCACCACTGGTCTTCCACTGGGACCAGATTTAAAGAAGAGGCTCATCAACAATACAAAAATATAGTACAGCACTTTTCTTGTCATAGCAAACATTCATACCTGTCTGTCAATGGCCCAGTCACATCAGCAGCCATTCAGATAAAAACAAACATTAAAAAAAGCAAAGACAAAAGGGGCATTGACCACAGTGGTTTTAAAGTTTAGCCTATTTGGGACAAATTATGTTTACTTTGTAACCTCTTTGTAAATCATGCTTATATGTTTGAGAAAAATTTTCTGTTTTTTCTACTGTTCAAAGCAGCCATTAGTTTCTATTCATTTCTGTACAATATGAAAATCCCTTGAAGACTCTTCAAACTTGATTGAGTTGTGAAATATATGACAGTATATCACATAGCAAATGTGCTGAAGGCAGCAGACATTTGGCTATTTTCTAATGTATTTTAGTCATATATGAAAAACTCATATAAAGTAAAGAAGTAGTGGATTACTACAGCGAACTGATATGGATTGTTATACATATTGTGAGTACATGTTGCCCCACCCTGCAAACAATAAGTCCTTGGGTGCCTAAGGAATCTAATCAATTATTAATGGTCAATATGATCATCAATTGGCACATCTCTACATTAAGTATGATGTATTGTCGTACACAAAAAAATATATATGCGCTTTAACTGCATTACATTTACCACACGACAAAAGTATATATAATATGCTGTATATATAATACCATTGACAAATCTCTATGCAAGTTTTAAGAATAAGATTTTCATATTGCAGGGAAATGAATGGAATGCCTGATATGGAAGAAACAATAGTATAAAACAAAAGTATAGCATGCATTTAAAAATGGTCAACAGAAGTGTAAATTGTACATGAGTTGTGGTTAAGAAGATTAAATTTGCAAGCATACTGGTATGCTTTTTTAAAAAACATTATTTCTTCATAATGACTTGCACATGCACAGTCATCATGAAGATACAGTGATATACAGCCGTCACTGATAGTCACATAATAACACACTAAGACAGATGAACACAGGGGCCCTTTGAGGTAAAGTTTTCACTTGAGGCTCTTAGTGAATTCTTTCGGGGACAACAAGCTCTTTGTTGAAATTCTGAATGTTTTTTAATTAATAAACTGTTGGAGATGAAAGTTTACGTCTCTGGTTAAATAAACCAAATGTAAAAAAAATGGGTCTGGCTGCAAACCCTCATGGTCTTGGTCTAGGTATCATTTTAATCAGACACAGATCTGACATGCAGTAAGTGACAGTTCATCAACTACCAGAAAAACTCCTGGACATGGTTCTCATTTGTTCTCCTTCTTTTCAAGAAAACCTCAAAGCTTTCAAGAGTGTGCACGCTGTCAGAGTTGTACTGTCTTGACACTTCAGGTTTTAACCCCTCCCCAAACAAAGGGAAATAAAAAGGCGCTTCTAACTCTTTTCACTTGGAAACATATGGGCCTTTCATACTGGTGGGTCATGGAGAGTCTGCATGATGTTTTTATCTAAGCACATCAAAAGCTATTCGTCCAAAGATAATTATACAAATAAACCTTCCAGTGAAATGCACACAGGCATTTTTTTCGCATCCCACTTTACACCTACATTGCCCTTCCCCTATTTCCAACCTCCAGAGAGCCTTGGTTTACTTACCCTAGGCGCCACAATCTCACAAAATGGGATTCATTCTCTGAGTGCGGGCGCAGGGCATGCAGTCATATAGTCTTGTTTATGGCGTGTGGAGGTGTGACATTTTCTACACGACACAATACATGGCCATTTGTCAAACATTCACATTACAGACAGCGAAACGGTCCAAGCCACATGTACGTATCGAAGCACATGCCACCCAGAGGAGAGCGGAAATATGAAATCTATCCTCTCCCTGCGTGGGTACAGCAGTCAATGAGATTATTTTGCTTGAAGAATAGCCTTGTGCTTCTGTGACAGTGGCTTTGTCCGCTGGGAATCTTTGAGGATGAGTTCCTGTGCCTTGTAATTGTCTTGTAGAGGACGCAGGACGGCTGACCTCGTGCTCCACAACGTCGATGAATGGTCAGAAAGGTTGACTGAAGTCGAAAAGGTCAGCCCTATAGTTCACGGAGAACCCTGTCGTCAAAGATCAACGATCTATGTACATTGAGTGAACAGTCAAAGCTGCAAAATCTGTGTTTTTCCTCAGCATACAGTGTCCAGTGTTTGGCAAGTACATACAGTAGTTCTTCATCACCTCACTGCTTTCTTCCTTGCTCTTTCTCTCAGTCTTTTTCCACCTGCCACTCTCCTTCAATTTTCCTCTCAGGTGCAGCAGTCTCGCCCCACATGACAAAACAGGGATGATTGGGTTGGCAGGGAATTGGAGGCGGAGGGGTCGTCGTCGTCGTCGTCGGAAGACGAGGAGGAAGAAGTGGTGGTGGTGGAGGAGGCAAGGTAAGGGCTCATCTTGTCGATGTTGACGTAGGTGGTGTTGAGCAGGATGTAGTGCTCCCCGCTGAAGCTAGAGAAGATGGCGGAGATGCGTGACACCAGCTCAGAGAAGGAGGGCCGCCGCTCTGGCTTTGGATGCCAGCACTCGATCATCACCGTGTAGCTGGAGGGAGTGGAAACGAGAGGAGTCAGGACAAAACTCAGACACTAGAAGAGCAATAAAATAACTTAAATAAAATTAAAACTGTCCTGAAATGATCAGTCAGTTAATCCATTAATTAATCAATTATTTTTTTCTCCTCGTTTCACTGTTCTGTAGTTTGCCCCTTTTTTCATTTGCTATTTCAGTTGTGATGTGATGTGTTTTGACATTTTCTTTTAGACTCCTGCTGCAGACTCCGCTCCTCTTTTAGAAATTTTCCATGCAACAATAAATCATTAGCCACCATTTGAACCAGGAATCTATGTTTTCAGATATAGATATAATAGATATAAATAATACATTTAATCACCCAGTAGCCCACATACTTAAGTTACTCCCCTCTACACTTCTGTTATGTATATGAAACGAAAAGGTCATACAATTGTTTACAATGTATCTTCTACGTTTTCTGCTTGCTGCTCTGTTTTCTCCTCTGTCCTCTTCAGGTACAAAGGGGGTGATTGGCTTGCACCTTTGCAGTCTGGCCGTGCAACTCATTGATTAACAGTTCTGAATCAAACCTATCGTCATGACAAACCCACAAAAAGAAGCCTTCCAATAGAGTTCGCTCTCTCACCCTCGGACATTGCGACTGCTTTGTGTATGAACGCATTTGGTAACATTGTAGAAAGATAAGTTTTACTTTCACACCATCAATAAATCATTTTTATCATTTTGCAACAAAACTCTGTCCTGTCCCTGTCAGGAGTTGACACCTTTGATATTGCTGTTATTGTTTTCTTTCCCTGACAGATAGACCCTATCATAGTTAAAAAATAAGAATAATGGCCCCATTACCACATATCCAAGGTATCTGTCAGTGACTACTATCACCACAGCATACTGTGAACGATCAGGAGTGAGGAATTGCCGGAATGTTTGCAGACATGCATCACCTCCTGATGTCTCTGTTTAATTTACAGCTTGGGAACTTTGGGCCTCTGCCTCCCTCACCTGAACACTCCCACTCCCCTCTAATTTCTACACTATAGACATGCAGTGTACCTCATGATGTTATCAGCACGGTATGAGATCACCCTTGGCATTCGTTTCACAGTACCAGTGGTGCAGAGTTTAATGAATAAGGACAACAAAACCTACGGTTTACATGAGTTGATGTGTGTGCTGTGTCAACACCAAAATAGCTACCTATGATTTCATGTGACATTTTTAACTAAGTACTGATTATTCACAAACTAGAGGTTCCTCTTGTTTTAGCCACATCTGGTAGTGGCAGCATTTTATCAACAGAAAAAACCACCCACGTTCACCTGAAACAGTTAAACAGTCTGGTTTCACCATATCATGTCAGTGGATGTGAACAGATCCAAAGAAAGCTAAAACCGCCTCGCAAACTCTGCTGACAGAAAATTCAAGGAAAAAAGTAATCTCAGCACTGCCAAGCCTGTTCTGTATGATGGGTGCTCTGTAGGAGCTTAACTACCACAGCAACAATACTTAGCAACAACAAAAAAAAGACAAATAAAAAATAAATACTAGATGGCATTTTCCATTTAAAAACTTCCTTTTTGTTTTGTGGTAAAGCAAGAAAAGTGACTTTTATTTGACCCACAGCTGCAATGAGATGTAACACTAAGAGACTAAGGAGCTGTGAGTGTGTTTAAAGACTCTTGCTGAGGAGATGATGGATGGTCTAATCTTGAGTGGTTTTAATTTATGACTTCCATTGCTTATGCTCTTTCACCTTCACTATTTTTCCCTGCTGCTCTCTCCTGATTTCAGATTCTCCCTCTCTCTTCATGATATATTTAAGTGCAGCTCTACAGTATATCACTCACACTAACTGAGCTGTGGCACTTTGCTAGAGGAGGTGAATGACAGGTGAAAAGAATGTGTTTATATATATATGAGTATGCACTTACAGGGCGTCAGGGCAGAACTCGGGCTGCAGCAGCCTCCTCCCCTGCAGGAGGAACACGGTGATGTCGAAGGAGTTCACATCAGAGTATGGAGGGGCACCACGGGTCATCAGTTCCCATAGCAACACTCCAAACGACCACTGTAAGAAAAACAAAAAAACTCCTTAACTCCTTTTTGTACTATTAACTCCTTTTTGTACTATTGTTTGTTTTTACTGACTTATGACGTTTTTTTACATCAGATTTTTGTTCAATATCGTGATTTTCCATTATAGTGGAGTTCTCACCACATCTGACTTGGTGGTGAACTTGTGTGTCTGCAGACTCTCCAGAGCCATCCATTTGACAGGCAGCTTGACTCCACTCTTGTTGTGGACACTGTAATATTCTTTATCATAAACGTCTCTAGCCAAGCCGAAGTCTGCCACCTTCACCGTGTAGCTCTCATCCAGCCTGTCAGAAAAAGAAAGAAGAAATTATTTCTATTGTAATTTTGTTTTTATTGTTTTTGCATTTTGCAACATTTTCTCTTGTGTTATTATTCATTTTCTTTTTGTTTCAACAATGATCTCTTTATGTTACCTTGGTCTCACTCTTTAACTCTTTTCTACTTTACATTGTTTTATATTCTTTAACATTCTCTCTCTTATATATATATATACATACACACACACACACGTAGTAGGTATGGTAAGGTATGGTAATATATATCAGTCTATTCTATTGTAGCTTGACATTGAATGAATGAACGTGAACTCACATGCAGTTCCTGGCAGCTAGGTCTCGGTGGACAAACTTCTTGCTGGCCAGATACTCCATCCCTCTGGCCACCTGCAGCCCGAAGCCCATCAAATCCTTCACTGTTGGATTCTGTAGGAAAAACAAAGAGATAAAATCTCACCACATCATGTACGTATGTCTCATATACGTAATAAAAATCTCAACATGCATGCATCTATATTATGTGTGCCCATACATGTCCCTCATCACGGATGAAGTTGCGCAGGTCGCCATGCTTCATGTAGGGCAGAACCACCAGTGGCGAGCCCTCTGGTGGCAGACATATTCCCAGCAGAGAGAGAACGTTTGGGTGGCTGAAGTCCTTCATGATGATCCCTTCCTTCAGGAACTGGGACACCTCTTCCAGATCTGTGATGCCTTCATAGGAAAAATTAACAAAAAATTTTGGAGGTAATGAAATAATTACATTGTGCAGGGCAGGAGGAGTTGTGATGTGGACAGCGTTTCAGACTACAGTAGAAGACAGGATGTAAATCTGCTACACTGACATCAGCAAGGTCATTCCTTATATACCTTATATACCTTTGGGAAAAAAGGATGAGGATGGTAATCAAGCCCCCCCCCCAAAAGAAGCCCTAAACATCCTCACCCAGACCAGACCTACAACAAACCTCCATTTGCCAATTGCATCCCTGTCTCTGATGTCCTACACTTTACCCTTTCTAACTCTGGTATAATCTGGTTAGAGATGGAAGCTCTTTAGGCCTGGAGAAACCAGCCGACTGGCCTTCAACTGAGGTTAGACCCCAAAGATAGTAAGAGATGACATTTCATTTAAGAGCCTCAATTTTAAAGTTAAGGATGAAAATGACATTATCGCTGTGTGGAAGATGGATATTCCTCTTTCTATCATAAGCTATGCATTCTGGAAATGCAATATATCGTCTACTTTCAACTACTTATTTTAGTAATTGTTACTGAACATCAACTCAAATATATCAAATATAACAAAAGAAAGCAAAAAACAATGACATGGTGCCCTGGGAAATTACTAAACCTAATAAAAATGTCCAAATCCCAGAGGACAAAACCCCAGCAGGCCGGACTCATCCCATCCCACTGTGGTTGGTAGCTCCTTGTGACTGCATTGAACTTTCCTCCATATTACTCCAGCATCAATCTCCCTGGTCCAACTGACAGGTTACATGATTAGGGGGAACCCTAATGCCGTCCTCACTATTGGACACTCATTCATCACCATTAACTCAGCCAAAAAGGATTCAGGTCTCTGATGAGATGAGATCCTTAATGCTATTGGAGCGTTATGATATCATACAATATGTATGTGATATAAGCAGATGATGAAATAATTATGGTTGGAAAAGAATATATTTGTACAAGGAGACAGTCTGTTGAGTGTGTGTGTGTGTGTGTTTTCTGAGGGGGAATCTGAAACTGCTGCATTTGATTGTAAATTATATCTAGGGACTCCCCCGTAAAATGCAGCATAGGAGGTCAGGGGCATTTTGTTAAAAATTAGCTCATGACAACGAGAGGACAGAGAGGGAGAGATGTGTGTAAAAAATGTATAAATGTGAAGCAGTTTGTTGCTGAAAAACAACATTTATGCTTAGCACACTGTGGCAATGTCACTTTCCTTATTTATAAAGAGTTTGACTGACCTATATGCATGTGAAGGGGTTTGTACTTACGGTTCAGGGACTTGATGGCACAGTGCTGCTTCTGCCCGTCTGGCTCAAGAAGAGTTCCATGGAAAACACAGCCGAAGTGACCTGCAGGTTACAACATGATGTATTAGTCAGAATTAGTCAGTATCAGGGAGTTCAAAATCTCACGTTCAAACCTGTAAGGTACTTCTGAATAACATTTCTTTACCCCACACAAAAAAAAGCCTCTCTGAAAGAGGCCCATTGTAGATGGTCTTAATTACAGGAGAGGTCGAGCTGTGAAGGTGAGCAATGGCAGCCAGGCCCATGTCAGTTGGCAAGAATCAGTCATCAGGATGTTAACCACTGATTTCTTATTTTGTTTGTTATTTCAGGTTTTTTCACTACCTTTCAGTAAAATAGTGTCACCAGGGTGGGACGGTATGGCTCCTACCTCCCTCCACGCAGGTGTCTCTACCAATCACCAAGAACTATTAGATCGAAAAGGACTTCCCTCACTGGCTTCTCACTTCTAAACATAGCCATGTACTGTCTTTGAAAATCATGACTATGGTGCCATTACTAGAAACCTGGCTGGAAAACATTTCCATTTTTAGCTCAATGTGTTGATTTTGTTATGGCTTACTAAAACCCTTGAGGCCCAAACAGAATAGACAGCAGACATAAAATTTGATGCCTCATTGGTAACACGAGTGTCTGAATTTCACCGTAACATCACTGGAGCACATACATTTATTTTGGCATAGACGTACAACTTCTCACAGCCACATTCCTATTCCTTGTATGTGTTAAAATACTCGGCCAACAAAATAATCATATCTTCCATGGCTTGTTCCTTAAATGTACACATGGATAAGTAAGTAAACCACAGTTTCTAAATCTTGTCCATAAATGGTAACAACTGTATGGCATAGAAGAAAGACATTGCATGCGTTTTTTTGGATTTTGTGCAATCAGCGTCATTCATTTATATTTTGGCTTGTTGAAGCCTTCTTCTAGACAGAACCAACATGATTAAGATCATGCGTCCTGCCAGTTGGCTCCACGATCACAGCACTTCCAAAAATCAGATAAAAATATTTCTGTCCAGTGCTGACACATAAAAATTACAATTTGGAGCAGAAGGATTAAAGTGATTAAATAAAATGCTGGCAGCTTTTTATACACATTGGTTCGTGGCAAACAACTGGCTGGTTTGAAAACAAGTGTGTCTGACTCTTGTGTGTTTTGCCTATTTTCACACCTTTTACAGCTAATTCTGATTATCTTAAATTACCATCACCCTCACACTAAATCTGCCCCTTAAGTAACCCAGTATGAAGCTTTATTCATTAATACCCTATGCAAGCTAATAGGTTATGCCAAACCCCCTAGAGTTATTGTGCATTTTATTGAATTATATCACTTAAGACAAGAGGGCTTGCCCCAGACTGGGAGGGGTGCAGGAATAAAATGAGCACGGCGTTCTCCTATCACGTCCTCGCAGATGGCTGAGGGTGTTGGATTACGACTCCCAACAATGGACCCTGGGAATACTAGCTGTGAACAAATCATCCTACGCCACTTTAAAAATCCTGCCTTAAAATCCAGGCTCTTTTCTTCAGGGGATAATTCAGTAGAGGGGGTAGAGGGCTGTTTTCTGTGACACGGAGAAGTTTGGGGTCTTTCTCCTCTTGATGTTGAATTTGATCTGTGGGTCTGATCCGCCTACTTAAACGGCACAATATGAGCCGATGCATGTCAAGCTTGCGGTTTGATAAAGCAGGCAATTAAGCTCTTTGTGGGCAACTTTAGCTTTTGTATAGCATTACATAAATCCCAAATTTAATCTAAGATCACTGGATAATAGTATCACTCCACATCAGCTACAATCCCATAATGAATGTTTTGCAAATAAATAATGTTTTGCTATTGTTTCTCATAGGTCAGAAGTCACAAACATGAACAAACATGACACTGGGTGCAAAATGTATTGGATATAAAATCTAGAATCAAATTAAACTGAAAATACTATGGACATACTTTAACAGAAGAGAGACTGGAAACGTACACTTCGGATAGAGCCTTGAGAGTAGATGCTGATGTACTGAAATTAATGTTTTACTGAAGTGATTACAACCATTTGACTGATTAACAGACCTATTCATTAGGTATTTAGCTATTCCACTGTAGTGTGTGTGTTGTAGTGTTTCTTTTTTTGCACATTGTTTTTTTTTGTTGCAGTTTCTCCTTTCTTAATGCAAACATTTAATTGATACTGCAAAATTAAAATATCTACACAGTCTAAGTGAGTTGGAGTAAATTTACAGAATCTTGCAGTATAACTTCCAAATGACAACTACCTGATTAAGAATAAGAATTATTTTATACATTATATGAAGTTAAGTCCTACCTAACATCCAGACAATCTTTAATGCTTTATTGAATTATTAATAAAAAATGTCATTGTTATATATGACTATGCACATCCATTTGTAGCTGCTGCAAAAAGCTATAATTCCCCATGCATACTTTAATGCATTCTTCAGTGATTACAGATATTCAAAAGCACTGCATCACCCCCCAATTCCCTGAATATGTTCTGGCATTGTTGCTACACTGGCACTTGGATTAATGATTGAACAGTTCTGCATATATGCTTAAAAAGTTTGTATTGACTAAATCTCCTTGTTTACAGTAAGAAGAAGAAGAACAGATAAAAAACCCCCACCTACGACAAAAAAAAATACTTAACAGAGAACAAACCATAGAGGGTATAAAAGAAGTAGACATAGCCACTGTGACGTCACCCACTGGCTTATGGACTACCTTTTTGAAGCCTTGAGTTTGGCATTTTGGCCTTGTGGAACCAGAAGTGACCATATTTGGGCGAGAGGGTGGAGCTGAGGAGGATACGCATTGCTATACCTGACAGGTCGCCAAGGTAGCAACTTGTCAATCACATGGTAGGCACTTCCTAAAGTATCCCCTGTTTATCATCTATTTTACTCTAAATGGGACCATAATGTATAAAATGCTGCGTTGAAGAAGACTTGAAAGTAGCGATTGCGACCATAAACTCATTAGGAAAGTGTTTACTGAGGTAATAAATCAAGTGAGGAGTGGGGTCATTTTGTCATAGACTTCAATACAATCAGACTTGTTTTTACAACCAGTGGAATTGGCCCCTGCTGGCCATAAGTAAGAATACAAGTTATGAAAAACAGTAAATAGCAAATTATTTAAGGAACAAGTAGGGCTGTACCAAATTTCAGTTTGTTTTTTTTTATCATTGGAAGCTTATTGAGGTTTTTGAATGAAGCTTTTAATATTTGTCTTCATGTTTCATATTTGAAATATATTTTATGACACAAATTGAATAAAGTGATTTATGTGATTAAATGAGTTAGTCTTTTATTGTTAAGTAAAGGCAAAATAAGTAGAATTAAGGAGGAGCTGGCTCAGGGGTGAACGAAGACAGCGAGCACCATTAGCACCATTGTGTGATTTACATTCTAAAGCACAAATAAACACGGCCACAACTTCACTAAATCTTGAAGGAAGCAGGACGTTGCAGGATTTAAATGTGCAGCATTTAAATGTTATCAATGAAGATTCGACATTTTGAACTATTCTGTACAGCTGTAGCAACAACTGACGAAAACAGTGCTAAAACACTTAGCCTTTATTTTACCAGAATAAAAAACATTACCACTATGACAGACCCAGTAATATGTTAAAAAGTATCTATTTTAACAGTAAATATAGTATTTTTGTGACTGACCTCTGCCTATGACCTGGTTGAGGTGGAGCAGCAGCTGCTCCCTGGCGATCACCACGTGCTGCACCTCAGTTAGCAGGTCTGGGTGGAGGCAGGACGGGTCGATGTGGACCGGGGTCATCAGTAGGGGTGACACCAACTCACCCTCCATTCCCAGACCCATCCCCATTCCAGCTCTTAGTGCCCCAAGTCTGGGAGACAGCAGCTCACCGTTGCCCCCGTAGATTGGAGGAGCCCGGCATGTCTCTGGCCTGTCGGTGCCCTGATCTGGTGAAGCAAAGGAGATCGAGGGGGGTCAAAGGTCAGCCACTGTATCAGTGGGGCCTCCAGAGGTCAATGTGTGTTACATGATCAGAAAAGGATGGCTACAAAGGAGAGCTACTTGACACTGTGATGGAGGGTAGCTGAGCTGGAAAAACAAAGTTTCTGATTTCTCCTCTGAAGCTGTTAGTGGAAGGATAAAATAGATCAATATCAATCAACAATATAAAAATATCTACATTTTATTGAAAAAAACAGAAGACAGAGAGGACTTAATAGACATAACGGTGAGCTCAGATAATGTGCATTTTCAGTCACCGACCCTACACCCCAACTCTCCCTGAGGACAAGCATTAGTTCATTAGTAAGTCTTCCTTCTCAGATTTTAAGCCTTTCAAGTCACTTTTAAGTAACAGGAAAATAGCTTCTCCCACCATATTCAGGATCATAATACATGGAGCCCCCCTCATACCCTCAGGATTCAAGCTTGGGAAACCGAAACCACAGGAAACCACTCAAAATTCCATCGAAGTTTTGGAAGATTGGCTTGTTGGTCAACTTTCTTGTGATGAGAACACAAACTTGAAAATCAGTGTTAGTTGTTATCACATGTTAGTTCAGAACATGTAAGGCATGCCGGGTAGCATAGCGTTCAGCCCCACAGGGAGGGAAGCAGGTAGATGGGAGGGAGGAAGGTGGTATGTGGGGATGTTCGGTCGGGGTTGAGAGGGGCTTATCTGGTTGACCTACCCTCCAGCAGGGTTGTTCTATAGTCGACTGACTCGTGGGAGACCATTTCGTTAGTGGGACTGACGCTCCTTGCGTTAGCCAGCCTGTCCAGATGCTGGATGTGCCCCCGGCCATCATACCACACCTCAGCCAGATCTAGAAATAGAGGGAAGAATTGGGGGGGTTGAAGAAGAAATGATAGAGACATAAGGGGATAAGAAGTGCGTAGAAAGAAAGGTGAAAGGGAGAGACAGAATCATGAGAAAGAGGAAGGGATGGAGAGAGTGAGGAAAGTGAGAGAAAAGGCAAGTGAATAAGTATGAGATCAAAGATAAAGGGGGGGGGGGGGGAATTACAAAGAAAGGCAAAGCGTTTCACCAGTGCGCCCCACACAAAAACTTATTGTAAACCCACCAGGCAAAACAAAACTCAGCAGAAACACATGCACACAGGTTAGAAAAGACACACTGAACTCCCTTTGCAAGTATGCAAATAATATAAATATGTATAACTTATATTTCACTTCACATCTTTATTTAGTTATAGTTTTATTTTCCTCTTATTTGTGACATGTAAATTGTGTCTTGAGTTCATTCTGACTTTCTAAAATCCTTTTCATCTTGATTCACTCACATACTTCATTCTTTTTAGTAACTTTTTACAATTTACATATTTTCCTGAGTTTACATTTGCCTGCTTCTGACTTGAGCGGCTACCTTCTTATGCCAAAATATTTAAAATTCATTAAATTTGCAAGTATTCCTGTCAAACCTACTTGCTGAAAACATTTCATAAACTAACCGGACTAAACTTGACCTGACAGGAGAGTCTGATTAACATAATATTTCAGAGTAGATAACATTTCAAAAAGACTGTGAAATCATTGCCAGTGCCGTGTGCAACCACTGTCCGATATTTAGAATGGCAGAATATGTGGCAGCCACAGAAGTGAAATGACCTGTGACCCTATGACCCTACCACAATCTGACATGTCTGCTCTTACCATCAATGTGTTTGTTCCTTCTCCACATGAGCAGCATTCCCAGCAGCAGCAACAGCAGGCTGACACACACACAGCCTACAATGAGGCCTGTGTAGTCCTGCTCCTGAGCTAGCGTCACCTTGCCCAGATGCCTGATGGAGTCCGCCTGGCGCCACTGAAAGAAGCGAAAGAGTTTGGGCCGTTACAGAGCGAAGGAAGTTATTAATTATTATTTAACACCCCACATCCATACAAAAGTCAGAGGTCAGGTAGCTGGTGAACATTCAGTGTAGAGGTCTGACTCCCAGCTCAACAGGACTGACATTAACTAATCTGGGTTGGGTTCAGTGTGTGCAGTCAATGCAGTGAACAGTACTGTTACCACTCTGAGAGCAGTGGTGGCAGAAGTGGAATTAGACAGCCTTTTTGCATAAGGATGGTTGTAGGATATAGTTTTCTTTGTGCCAGGGTGTCACGTGTATCAATTGCACGATTCCTGTCCAATTACTGCCTGTTTTCCTAAAATTGTAGTAGCCACACACATGCGATAACACACACACAGTCTGTTGCTACAGTCTGGAGGCAGATTACATCAGTGATATTGCTTCTGCCATTATTAGGTTTAGTGGAAATGAGGTTTTTACTGCTGCCTGCTGCTGCAGATGGGACTGTGTGTGAGTATGTGTGCGTGAGTGTGTATCTGGACATATCTGGAGGTAGGGGATATATGAATGTGTGTGTGAAATGAGGGATATTGGCTGAACATCCCCTGAGATAAAGACTTTCCTCTGAAGGCCAGTTCACAAGTCAACAGCGATGAGGCTGATGATGTCTGGTCTGGAGCACGCCACTTTACCGAGGCTCAAATATTAGTTTGTATCATAAAGACGATAACTTCTCTTATCAAACCTCGTCTAACCTCATAGGATGTTTTCTGGCTGTTTATTGCTAATTTGAGTAACTCCCAGAACACAAAATATGAGTTGCATTTGAGTATATGGTTTGAAAGAAACAAAATCAAATCAAAAAGAAAAATGCAAATAATTAATGTGTGATGTCTAATGCAGAGTTGTGTAGTCTATAGAAACTTATTTCCCTTAATGTGCCTCAACTACTTCTACTTCAGTTTGATTTTGTACATTTCCAAGAATGCCTTTTCACAACCTCTTGAAACTGAGTGAGAACTCAGTGTGAAACTCAAAACATAACTAGTCTTGTAGCTGCATAGGAACCTGGTTTATATTGAATATATAAATTGGTCCAAAATGTTTCTCTTGACGCCCTTGCTCTTTTTCTGACTCCAAAACTGGACCCCCCTCCCCCCCAATCTGGAATTTTTCTATGGAACACAAGGAACCAAAAGTCATGGTGGTCCTGGAGTACACCTGTACATCACATCATTAAAAATAACATTTTCAGGGGATGTTCAGTTACTGTACTGTATGATCACGGATATAAATCTGACAAGTTCCTGTTAAACTGTTTATCATTAATAAAAGACGTGTGTGTGTGTGCGTGTGTGTGTGTTTCCTCTGACATTTCTATACTGTACGTCCACCTTCTCACGACTCTCTTGACTTATATTCAAGTGACAAGACAGCTGGATGCTGAGCCCTTTCACTCAACACACTGTGCAATAAATTCTCCCTGAGCTGGTTTTATAAGGGACTGCATTAGGACAGGAGAGTTATTGAAGTTTCCTGTAAACGATCTGGAACGCTGAAGGAATGTGGTGTTCTCCATGAATTTCCCAGAGCGCAGAATGAAGAGCTCAGAATGGCCAATGGCAGAATGATCCCGTTACTGCTTTCAGAAAACTCATACAGTGAAGTATGTCTTAACTTTCTGTTTATAGTGGTGAAATGCTGATAAAAAAAAAAAAAATAATGAGACAAAGATAAATCATGTCAGAACTCTGCTAAAGAGGTGAAATTACTTACTAACTAAAAGGTTTGTGCCAAAAATGCCTGGTATTTTGGACTGTTCATAATTCCCTCCACCTTGCATAAGGCCCCGGTTCCAGCTGAAGAAAAACAGCCCCAAAGCAAGATGCTACCACCACCATGCTGCACTGCGGGTATGGTGTTCTATGGATGATGTGCCAAACATACCTTTTGGAATTTTTTAACACAGCCACATCCCCAGTTATAAGAGGGTGTGCGCACTTGCAACCAAGTTATTGTAAATTTTGTATTTTTTATTTCCCCCCCTAAAAGATTTCAGTTTGTTTTTCAACTAAATTGTTCACATTATAGGTCACGTTAAAGGTGGAAAAAGTTTTTTTACATGACTTATCTTCGTCTAATTATTTTCCATCACAAAAACCTGGCATTTTAACAGGGGTGTGCGGCCTTTTCATATCCACTGTAAGTCAAATTGAATGAAATATAGTAATACTGAAAATAATCATCAAGACTTACAAACTAGTTCTTCACATACTCCATCCGTCTATCATCATTGTGTGTTATGTTGTTGCTATGTGGCGAGTCAGCCTCTTCATCTTCAGAAGCAGGTGCTGTGATATGATGATAGCTTTTATTGTTAAAATTCCTTCCGTGAGCCTGACAATCCAGTCAACAGAGAGGAATTTTTCATATAAATGCATTATAAGCGGCTTTATGGATCTCTACTGTATCATATCCACTAGACATGATCATTCTTGGTTCACGGGAATATCTGTACTCTTAGAACTAGAGTTTACAATAGGAAAATCTAGTGCCGTCACTGCAAGAATAATCCATCATAGAGGGTCTCATATTTACATGAGGTTTTTTATAACGCAGGAATAAATTCTGCAAATGCAGTGAGTGATAATTCCACTTCACAGTGCTGTTTCCAGTTTTGGGTTTAGTGTTATTCCCTGTTTTATTTTGTTAAACCCTTCCTCTTGTGTCTACTTCACTTCCTTCTGTGTTTTCTTGTTCTCAGTGTTGTTTTGTCCTGTAACTTTGGTTCACCTCCTCTCGTGGTGTTTTGTCCACCTGTGTAATTGTCTGCCTCACCTAGATTGATGCCTTGTTAAATCACCTTGCTTGTGTCTATATAGAGTGGGTGTGTCTTTGTTACTTGTGGGTTCCTCTTCAGCCCTATGTCAAGCTTTCCAACTCGTTCCTTGTGTTTTCTAGGATATTTTCTACCTGTGTTTTTTTTTTTTTTTTTTTACTTCTGTTTACTTTGCAAGCAAATCCAAAAATCCAGAAAATCCAACAGAAGAAAACACAGGTAGAATAATCCAGAGAACACGGGAAACCACTAGGAACGAGCTGGAACGCTTGACATATAGCTGAAGACAAACCCACGGTGTGTATACATACGCAACTGAGGTGATTTAAAAAAGACACAGGTGGGGCCTGTACCACGAAGCATGTTCAACATACTTATCTTTTGGTTATTTGGCTTCACTAACCCTAACAATCATGATCGGGATAAGAGGTCACACGAAGCAGGTTATCAACTCGGTAAGTCAACCCAGGGTTTAGCAACCAACCATGAGCGCGTAACATAAAAGAGGCGGTGTTAGCAGCAGATGGCCAATAGCAGACAGTAGAACAAGTCTACTGGCAGCAGAGCATCATATTTTACAAATAAAGAGCAAACTGTAATATTAGACAAATAGACATAGTCTAAATGGCCCAACTGCAGCTGACACATGCAGGAGGACAGAAAATTGCAGACACTGCAAATCCTAGAATGAACAGGAGTAGTATAATATGAATATGTTGATTTAATGTGTTCTCATGGCGTCGGCGTTTACACATTAAAAGCGTCAGGCACTGAATAAGTTGTTGTTCCACCTCACTTTTACGAACTTCAGACAACACAGAAGAAGAAAACACAGAGATGACGGTGACGTTTGGGGTGGTGATGAAGCAGTGGATAAGACACATGCCTTTGGTGCGAGAGACCCAGGTTCAATTCCCCGCTGTGAGACACACCGGGGAGACCTTGACATGACAGTTTCCCTTGTTTTCAGGAATTTGAAAGACAAGTTCAGGCACATTTGTGCACTGGTTTAAAGATAATGAACATTTCTAGTAAATTGGTTGAAGTTTAGAATGGTCTCACCATTTTGGTCGATCTTTCTTTACTTGTTCTTGTTCCAAGAGGTTTTAAAAAGAAAATACGAGTGTAATAATACAGATTGGGGAAAATTCTACAGTTAGTATGACTTTACAATACTTGTGTGTTCTTCACTTCAAAAGGATAATGAGCTAATTCACTAACATGCTAATTAAATTAATCAGAGCATCAGTGAACAGTTTAACACATCTCACACACACACACACACACACACACACACACACTGCACTGCTATCCAAACACCACTTCAAACACACACTGAAGCTTTTCTTTGCTATCAACATGCAGGAAAGCTGGAACAAGACATCTATTGAGTAGAGTGAAGAGGATGCGTTTGTGTGTGTGTGCTTGGGTGTGGATGTGTGTTTGTGGTTAGCTGGGTGTCTCAATAAACAAAAGTCTTAATTGATTAAAGTAAGTGTCTTTGGTGACCAACTGTTGCAGAGGTGTGTACTGTACACCTGTGCATGTGCACCTGTGTATTAGTATTACTATATAAGGGGTTGTAGTCTGTATGTGTGAGTATATTAATGTGGATACATCTACATCCTGTTTGGGTCAAAGGGCAGAACATAACCTGAAGAGAAAAAAATAATATAGGCAATAAAAGGCCTAAAAGATTAAACGATTTAAAACTGTTGAAGAACAGAAGAACAAACAGACCCTTTCCACTTTTGATGTAAACTAAAAAGCGAATAGGCTGTGTCTTGGTATGTGTAAACTGCAGGTGTCTTACCTCCACCTGCAACTCCTTGGACGTGGCAGCCTGCAGCTGGGTGGGAACGGTGCACTCAAGAGTGTTTCCAACCAGAATCAGACTCTCACAGCTGTGGTTGGACACAGTGAGAACCTGACACTTCATCGCCTCCCTGTCCATCCGGTCACCCTGCAGTCGAGGGTGAGAGGGAAAGAATAAGGGTAGATAGAGGGAAGTTGTGGGGAAAGACAGCAAAAGAGAAGGAGGGAGTAAGGGAAACAGATTGAGAGACAGGGAAAGAAAAAGACATGAGGTCAACAGTTGCAAACAAGTTGAGGTCAACTTTTAAATCAGAAACATTACAGGCGACCATTACTAAGGTCAAAGATTAGTGCATCCAGACATGGACAGAATGTTTGGCAGCTGTGGCTCAGGTGGTAGAGTGGTCTTGTCTAGTAATTGGAGGGTCGCCGGTTCAATTTCCCGCTCCCATGCTCCATGGCAACACATGCAGAGTGATGCAGGTAAAAGCCATGTAAAGGAAGAGAAGTAGTGATTGCAGTGGTGTGGGTTTCTAAACCCCAATTGCTCCATATGCAGTTGGTGTGCTTCAGATATGAAGCGTCGTATCACTCCCGGTGAGCAGCTGGCAATGGATAAATTGGATAAATACAAGTCCATTTACCATTTCAAAATAAGATAGTAACAAGCAAATAAAATATCTAAATCAAACGCTCCTTCATGATTTTTAGGTGGAAAAAAAATACTTGCCTGTCTGGCTGCAGGAGAGAAGAGCATCTTGAGTAAAAAATCAAGCATCAAGGAGTGAACACACATGTTGGAGCTCACCAACTTAAATCAGTGGATAGAAATGTGATCACATGCAATTTGGGAATACACACAATAGGAACACAATGAGAGCAGCATTAGGGGGAGCTCCGTGTTACTGGCCAGGGTTGACTCCCTGTTATGTAGAAAGAATCTATTTAAAGCCATACAGTCCTTATCATGTGGATATTCTGCCTGTATGGTGCACATTCTTAAAAAGATTGGCACTTAATTTAATTACCACAAACTAATTGTTACAAGACAAACTGAGCCCTGTTACATTCCTTCATAAGGCAATTTGTTAGTTCAATATTTCAATTTATATAGACATATATTTAAGTTGCATAAAGTTCAGATTGCAAGATGCTGACTGCTAGTGAGCAAGGGCAATTTGGGAGGTAAATCTAGCCCTGTACTTTGGTATAAATCACCAGCCACATACAGTAAGTGTGCTCTTTACAATTTACAGACTTCCATATTGTGAGTGCTAAACATTAACAAAGTTTCCTTGTGCAGCTTTTAAACTGTTTATATTAATTTTAAAAGGCCAGTAAATGACATGGGTGCATGGTGGTCCAAATTATGTGAATGTTAATGATTGAAATGATATTGTAGTAGCAACCTTGTGGCTTGTTTAGTACATATTGAAATTTAGCAACAGAAGGCTTCAAAAATGTTGGGAAAAAGGGAAGAAAATGTCCTCAGTGAGTAATACTGAAGTAAATTAAGTGCATCAGGCTGAAGAGGCAGATCTCTCTTCCTGGCAGAGTTCATTATGTTTCATAGTGGGCATGACTTTGCTGCTGATATGAGTAACACAGAGCAACCTATTCTGGTCGCGTGACCCCTAGTGGGATGACAACAAACACCCCCTCTGACATCTGACTGGAAGAACACACAGTAATTGTGCACGTGAGTGTGTGTTCTTTGACGGGAAGCGGTGAAAGAACAAAGCAGCCTAATTTGTTGTTCTTCTCCAATCTCTGACTTGTTGTTCCCTTGCTTTCTCTTCTCATTCACTCTTCTTTCTCTGATTCCATTGCTCTCTCTCTCTCGCTCTCTCTCTCTCTCTCTAACACACACACACACACACACATAAACACACTTGAGTGCAGCAGAAGGCAATAAAGAGAATGATCACATTCCTTGCGTGACAGCTTGGGATTTTCCAATTTGACACAGAGTGGAGGCTCGCACCTGTTCCTCAACTCTCTTGCTCTCTCTCACACACACACACACACACACACACACACAGACACACACACACACACACACACGTTGGAAAACACAGTAACACAAACCATTCATTCACCCACTTGCTTGCAATTAGGACTATCATAAAGACAACACTTCGTCACAAGATCATCCAATACAATCCTTACTCAGTGTGTGTCCTGGCTGTGGGCGTGACAACACTGTACACACAGCAGAGAAAAGTTATTAAAAAGCCATCACAGTAATACCAGTCACTCTAAATAAATTGTCATGAAGATAATTGGTAGTGAGATGCTTCTTAGTCTCCCGTGACGTGATCGGAGGCGATAAGAGCTTGGCCACATACCAAAGTCTGCTGCCTGGTTCCTTCATGTTACCGCCATAGTGGGTGTCAGTCAGAGCTAAATATCCCTTTTTTTCTGTTATTGGCAGCCATTTTGGGGCTAGAGTTATCAGATGGTACTAAATGAGCCCTGCATTTGCCCTTTACTGCAGGCCATTGCAGGGCAGGGTTATCAGATGGCGTTAAATGTGGCCTCTTTCAGTGCAATGCCTGGTACCATCCCCCTGGGTAAAAACTAGGGGTTTGTCTGGGCTGAAGGGAGGGATGATGGGGGATAGAGGTTGGGTTGGTGGTGGATTTAGCATCAGGGCCAAGGTCACGTCTGGGAAAAGAGAGAAAGAAGAAGAAAAAAAAAAAATACACAGCCAGCATCCCCTGCGAGAGGTTCAGCACAGCTGCCACAAACCCTCAAACTGCAGTCAACAAAAAAATGAAAGAAAGAAAAGAGGAGAAATATGTATTTCATTGTGTTTCTAAAACAGGCTCTGGGGATTGTGGTGGCTCGTTTGAAAAGCAGCGTTAATATGTCAAGAGCTTTGACCTCGACAGCCAGAACAATGCACGTCAACAGAGAGAATACATAGAGGTATAGCAGTAGAGAAGGGATGGAGGGGGGGGGGTGTAAACGATGGGAAACAGACTCTACTTCCTGTTTTTCTTTCAGTATTGTTTCCTTCCCAACTTGACCTGGACTGTGGATGGGTGTACGTGTGAATGTGTGGATTGGGAAGCACAGTGGTTCCAAATTGTTAATTCATCTCATTCAGTAAAGTTCTGCAAATTACATCTGTGAATCTAACAAAACTTTAAAAAAAAATTCTGGCTGTTTTGTGAAGCACTTCTTTTAGAAATTTGCTACAGCACATAAATAAAGATTATCTTACTTAACAACCTTAAAGTGGGAGATCAGAGTTTCTACTGGTGTCTTGAGTTTCTGCACCTGTTCCTGTAGGTGTCTGCCCTGCTAGAGTTCAATTGAGCAAGACGCAGTTCTACAGCTGGCCCACACCTCTGAACATCTGATCTCTAACCTTTGCTGTTCTGTGAAATTTACATTATAATGGAGCTGAAGTCTTACTGTAGTCTTACCTTAAGCTCCACGATGCTCTTGTTGTCCTTGGAAGTGAGCTTGGGGTCCTGGAAGAGGGGGTCCTCCACGTAGATCAGGTCCCACTGCTCCGTCGAGTAGCCGTCCAGGACAAATGCCACCTTGGTGACCACAGGCGGCTGCAGAGCCAGTTTGGCCAGAGAGGGCGTGGTGCACTGGATGGATGTCCGGTTCTCACCATAGACACAGCTCTAGAGAAGAGACGCAACACAGACAGACACAATTTATGAGTCAGAAAATTGTACACCTGGCCTGCAGGTATACATATGTGAATGCAGGTACTTAGAAATGAGATCCGCATTTTGTTTGTATAATTGTCAACTGATATCCTTTCACACTTGTTTACTATTGTACAGATCTGTGGTATGTTCAGGAACAATTTCCTCATTAAAGTTATGAGGTTTAACACACTTATTAAGAAACAATGTTGGCACATGTTTTGATGTGTGCAGGGAAGTTGAGGAGCAATGCATGGGTGGTCACATCCACATTAGCACAACTAAAGAGAGATCTGTAGGTGCTGCAACTAAAGTAAGGAACATGCACCCATCTTCTACTATTAAACGTTATGTTTTTCTTATACCTCAGTGATTGTAACTTTTCTATACTAACAAATCAGGAATACCAATAATACCAATAATAATGTTATGAAATGTGCAAACTCATAATTCCTGTGGGAGTATATTGCATTTTCACTGCACACTAACTGCAGTTTAACTGAAACTACGATCACCTTCAATCAAATCTTCAGATCACTGTGACAGTTCTATGCACCCTCAAACAAATTAAAAGAAAACAAACCCACAAACATAACTGCTACATACTGGACATCAACCCTTACCCTTACCTAAAGCTGATCCTGGTTCAGATCTACCGGTCTTACACTCACTTACAATGTAAAACAACAATGCAGTAATCCTAAGTTTGGCAGCTTCTTTTATTCTAACACATCACATGAGACAACGCCTGTTTTCTGCCACTGAGGTGTTTACACACCTGGCCTGAGGGCACAACAGAGTTTTATCCAATTTTGGATTCAGCCCACATAGCCCTATCAGTTTTTGTTTTCTGATTAAGACTACCCAGTGAGAGACAAAAAGCTTAGAAAAACACCCTAAGTCCTTCTTTATTGAGGAGTGGAGTTTCAACATGGGTATCTAATGGGATAGAGAGACTGAGGTTGACGTCTCCTGTGTTTACATGGCAAAGATTTAAACCTTTTGTGTCTGCTTTGAGGTTTGAATTGGGGGGAAATGCAGCATGCACTGTTCTGATGGTACAGAGGAAAAATAACTTGTGCAGAAGAAAGTATGGTAGAGTCATCAACTGGCTCATCGCGAAATATCTTTTGAATTATATATGTTTTGTTTCCTTGTGTGTTTTCCTTGGCTGAACTATATACTAGGGGCCTCAACCGGATGGTGGAACACATGGACAGTTGGGCAGAAACAATTGCTTTAAATAAAGATTAGAGCTTTAAATGCAAACCAATTATTGTTAATCTTTCAAAATGTAAAACGTGGTTCATCTTACCCCGTTTACCTACAATTTCTTGAAGATTCATATTCCAACACGTGCAAAACACTGTGCAAAACACTGTGTTGATTTAGTAAACACTAAAGTCACTGAGCCATCCACAGATTTACAAAAAAAGAGTAGGAGGACAATCGCGGAGGAAGCCGTCCTGTAAGGGAACAGCATCCAAATTGGGGTGTTACTGGGATCTCAATTTGGGGCAATGTTCCCAGAAACAAGAAATCAATAGAAAGACTAAAGGGATATGGAAAATAAATGGGTACACTAATCTGAAAGTTGTTGTTATTGATATGACTTGACATGCAACAATAATTAGAGCAGTTAAGAGGCCAACAGTGATTATAAAATGATCTAGCATAGTCTTTTCTGCCTGTCAGTTTTATTCTTGGATCACAGCAGACACCTCCCCTTGTTAGTTTATTTTCCGACTCCAGGATGTAGGATCCATATTTCTGAGGGTAAACGGAGGTGAGGAAAGAATGAGGATGTGTTTAATCATTATGCACATTGTTGTCAATTCTATCAGCAAAGAAAACATAAATGTAAGTGATAGAAACACTGTTAAATAATGTAAAGGCATTATATTCCTCTACACAGGTGCACTCAGAACAAACCAGACTCGTTTGGCTGTAAGTGGAGAGATCAATGTTGATATTTGCTCAGTGGTGGCCAATGATAGTGAGTGTTTATCTTTTAGGCTACAAAGGTAGATGTGTCCTTGAGTCAATGTCCCACGAGGACAGGAGGTAGAAAGATAAATGCGCCTCTCGTAACCTTTGAACACCACAAATGCCACTTTTCACACTGTTGTTTAGTGAGTGGGTGCTAAGATAGTTGTTGTCATTTAATTGATTAATTTTCAAAGCGTGACTGATACTACTGAGAGAGCAGGGAGGGAGTGGACATACTGACTATGGAATAGATTAATAAAGGCACAGACTCACATAGTTGTTGACCCCTGGTATATATTTTAATTTTATTGGTGAAATAAAACAGACTGGGTAGCAGCCTATGTGATTTGATAACAAAGAAGGAATGTGGACTTCTTGAGGCTAGACCAGTAGGGAACTACTGCACTATTGACTATGGTCTGTAAAGAAAAAAAAGCTCCACAAACTGGTTGAAATCTGACTTCCAACACATTGACTGCAGTAGCAGCAGCTCTGTCGAAGTATTGCTGAAACTTCCTCATACACTTCCTAATGTGACTCCCCAGTGAGCTATATCAGCCTAGACGGACACACACGAACACACACGAAAAAGTTACGTGCATCCGCAAATGCTGGAACACAAGCATAAAGACATAAACCCATGAATGCATACTGAATGCGTGTGTCCATGTGTGAGGGTAGTGCGGGGTCGCCTAACAAAAGCAATCCAATTAACCTCCCTCCTCCGCACACCAATAAGGAGCGAGTAGAACGGGACTGTAGGGTAAACCCCCCTCTCCAACCCCCTCTCCCAGGGGTGCGGCGAATGGAAAAATATCCTGTGAATTAGTGGAAACCTCAGTCAGTTTCATTGTTCAGTGGATGTCTCCTCTTATTTAAGGGATAGGAGGTGAAGGGCTGTAGGTTGGGAGCAGCTGTAAATACAATCGCTCAGAGAGCTGGGCAGTGAGCGGGCCGAGGGGTTTACTGTGGGGTGATGAGAGAACCAGCGATCCCAAAACCTCCACCGTCCCCGAAGGATCATTAGTGTAACAGCCTGCGAAAAAGCCAAGTCATAACGGCGCTCCCACGTACAAAATTGCTTGTCAAATCTACAGTGATTTATACCAGTTGAGTTTTCTGCTGTTTCCTACCATGCTGTGCTGTATTATTATTTACTCTGGATTTAAGGTCTACAGTTCAGCTGTGTCTTTGCTTATTATGTTGAGTTTTTAGGTGTAAATTTCACTCTTTCCTTTTTGCATCAGATGCTTTTGTAACTGCATATAATGTGTTTCGCATCTTGTCCTTCTGTTTTTTTTAACTTTAGTCTTACTCTATTTGCTTTTTTAGACTTCACTTATGTTTTACATTTGTGCAAATGACCAACACTAAAACTACAATCATTCATCTCTTATCAATACTTTCTCAGTTACAGATTGTCACGTGTTAAAACCTGTACTGTTTTACGTCGACACATGTATTACTTGTTCTTTCTTTATTCTGCCAATGAGCCGCTCTTTTCTGAAAGCAGTTGAAGCTTTGAAGCACCTTGACTGCTGACAGATGGGAAAACGTTACTCATTCACTTTCATATATTTCCTTCTCTCAGATACCCGCCAGCTGTGGGGGGTATGGGAAAGGAAAGAGGCTACATGAGGCATTCAGGTGTCAGCTGGATAGATGTAGCCTGCTGGGATGACATAGGAAAAGGAGTCTCACTTGAAACAAGCCAATTTGTGAATGCAGGCGACAGGTGTCTGGCTACAGTGAAGCCTACAGTTAAACTAAACTATCTGTGATGGTGCAGTCCGGCAAGCAACGCTGGTATGAGGAACTCTACTCCCCAAACTTTGAGAGTGATTTCTGAAAATGCATAGATCACTTGTTTGCAGTGTTTTTGTGTATGTGTAGCCTCCATTGGCTTTGTGACCATGCAAACTTTTCATGACGGATCGTAAAAAATAAACTCTTTTATGTTTGTGGGAAAGCTGAGATTGGCTGAGACCAGGCTTTACTGGAGATCTGAAAGGCAGATATCAAGTCAACACTGGCTGTTTTTTATGCTCCAACTCCAGCTGAGACCGCTGAACCTCTGCTCTTGGCTGTTAACAAGTCTTGGTTTCTTCCTCTCTCCAATCTGCTTTAGTGTAAAGATCTCTCTCTTTTTTTAAAAACAATAATTCTTTTGCCGTTTTCATTTCTTTTTATAGTAGCTGCCTTAAATGGTCAATATTCTACCGTTTTTACATGGGCGCTAAATAAAGTGATCCGATAAGATGTGGGTTCACATGCTCTAAGGTATATAATGAGGATATAAAATTTTTGATGTGCGCAAAGTGGTTCCACCCGTGGTGAAGCGTCATATCTTCCTGTGGTTCCGCCTGTTAATAAATTTTTCACGATGGACCCACACTGTGTCCTGTAAACAACAACAACTGCATTTTGGAAACAACTCGTTGTTTTGAGCCTTTCGACAACATTCATCAAAATCAGCAATCCCTTTTAAAGTTGTTGGATGATGCAGCAAAGGGCACGGGCCAGATCCAGGCTGCTATACTAAGGACACTTAACCTATACGTGGTGCACACTCTAACAAGTCAAATATTCTTGTATTACTGGAGAATTGATTACGTTAACGGAAGTGAACATCATTCGGCTGCAGCGGCTTCTTGTGGGAGACTAAATCGATCGCACACCCACAGTTTAGGTTTATGAACGTACTGTAGCTCTTGAGGCATGACAGGCTGGTTCACATTACACAGAGTACTGTTCCAGTGGTGACGGGAACCTCTGTATGTCCGTTTGTGAAAGATGATTTGCCTCTATTTTGAGGGGTTAAGACAATAAGACACTTATACTGTCCCTTCCCAGGCTGAGCCTTAACTCATCCCGTTTACTGGAAGGAATTTAACAGGCGACAGCTGGGGCCCTACAGGGCATGATCCCATCCTAAATCATTAGTTATGATAGTCTTATTTTATACAGGCTCACTTCAGTGAGACAGTTGTTTTTGCCATTACTCTCTGGTTTGTTATTCCAGGTTAAAATGAACATCAGGGCAAGAGTTTTCTTCAATACACAGTGTCTCAGTCATCATACAGCAATTGATTCGCCACATCTCAGTAAGTAAAATACTCCCAGTTTGCATGGTTTTCAAGACAGTCACAGCATGTGTTATTGACTTGAAAGTGAATTGAACCCTATACCCAGGTGTAAATGGGCAATGCTGACACATAAAGAAAATCCTGAAACACACAGAATGACCCTACGCATCTAAGATTACAGGTGAAATTACAGGTTAAACTTGACTGTAACTTTCATACACAAGCCAAAACTGAAGAGTGTATTTTTGGTCATTTTGTATTTGGCAATTTAAATTTCAAAGCCTATACATAAACAAAGAGTTTATTAAATTATATTATGCTTGGGCCACAAGCATATCTGACTTACTGGCAGGTGTCAGCTGAAACACTGCTCCAGTCTGTTAACTAGTGTCCTAAATCAGTAAGCAAATTATAATAAACTGCAGGTAACCAGGGCAACAGTGCTTCTGCTGTGTCCTACCCACTGATGAAACAGATGTAACCATGCGTTAAACTGACTACAAACTTCAGTGTTAAATAGGTCATATAATCTAATTTTTAAGGTTCAGCATTTTCTAGGGGTTGTACCAGAACAGGTTTACATGGTTAAATTTTCAAAAAACACCATATTTTTTGTCATACTGCACATTGCTGCAGCTCCTCTTTCCAGCCTGTGTGTTGAACGCTCTGTTTTAGCTACCAAGTGAGGCATCTCTATCTTGTTGGGAGTTGCACATGTACAGTATAGGTAAGGACTATTAGCCAATCAGAATCACAGTAGGGCGGGTCTTGACAAGCAAGGTAATGTGATCCAAAACAAAGCCCCTTCAGCTGCTAACCACGGCTTCGGTTCAGCCGTACATGTTCGAGCCCAGACAGAACAACCCGAACCAGCTTTGGAGCAAGACGTTTCAGAGTGGTAAGTTATTAATGTCTCTGTAACAAATGTATTAATATTTTATACGTAACATTTTAGCTGTGCACTGTCTCTACATCACAAAACAACATTTTGTCAATTGACTGCCTGGAAGGTATCTAACTTTATCTATCTAACACTAGCCAAGCATTATTAAGTGTGTTACATAGTGATGCAGATAGGTTACGGAAGTAAAGGCTGGACTACAATCGACTTGCTTTCAGGCAATTCGGAAGCAGTGTTTTCTGTGGGAGATGGTAACTCCCTTTTGGGTGGACTTAGGGCTTTTTCACTTTTCAAACCTCTTACATGCACAAAAAGTGATCTTACACAAAAGTTATGCCAAACAATATTTTATAAATATAAACTATGACTATTGACAGCCTTACAACTGTCCAATTTGAGTTTTTTGAACCTCTAATCATTGACCAAACATACTGCTTTACCTCATATAGATGCCTACATTCACACCTAGAAACTTCAGCAACAGTCTTCTACGGTTGACCCTCAGATCATTTCCACTGGAGAAGGTAGAAACTAAGGGCTCAAAATGGCAACTGCTGAGGCAGGGGGCAGTGGTAGATGCAAGTCCAAATGCTTGCCAAGTGAATCGGGGATTCGAACCAGCAATTTCTGGATCATAAGCTTGATTCCAGAGCCCTCAAGCGGAGTCTGTTCACGCTGTTTGTGTGTAATGAAGCCTGAGCTCCCTAGAGACCCATCAACCACTGACCTGAACACAGGTCAATGACCGGGGAAAGAGAAACTGAAAAACGAGACACTGCATGGAGTGTTTGTGTGCGTGTGTGTGTGTGTGTGAGAGAAAAAGAGAGGAGAGAGAGACAGAGAGACAAACAAGAAGAAAGACAGATCACAGATTGAGGGATTTTATGTCAAGATTTGAGATGGAAATCTTATTCCATGAGTGTACGTGTTCTGTATCAGTGTGTGTTTTTACGGAGCTTATTATTGTCTCCTGACTGAACCTGCAGCAGTGTGTGCCTCAGGATGACAGATAACATCATTACATAGCACTGCTTGTCCTCAAACCGCCTCCCAAAGGCAAACATCACACGTGCACGCACACACACACACACACACACACACACACACACACACACACACGGAGAACAATATACACCTTTGCTTTGTTTGTTATGACGCACTAAGAAATGTCACCTTAACTTTGAAAGAATATGTCTCTTAACAAGCTACCTCTAATTAGAGTTGCTGTTGTTAAAATGTCAATATCTTGAAATTGTTGGAAAGATTTTGAAATGTTTTACCATGTTTATACACAGAGAACATCTCCAGTTGCTATATATATTTTCTGTTTCAGTCCAGGTAATGTAGGACTTGCAAATAGATTAAATAAATTCTAAACTTGGAGAGTTGTGCACAGTTTGACTGATGAAGATGCTCCATTTTGCTCTTTTTTTTAAAGGATCTGATATCATTTCAGCAACAACTGCAATGAAAACCAAGCTGTGAGGCTGTTATCCAAGTGCACTATATGATAGGATCAGAAGGTCACACAGAGGGAAGCCATGGCGGGTAGTTTCTGTGGTCAGTATTATTACTTCAGACGCTGTAAGTGTCATTTGTCCAGGTCCAAATGCCTGATGCACTGATGAAATCTCAAAATGTCTTCATGACTAAAAACAGCAACTCCTGCTTCATTTGACTTATGACCTGGGTGACATTTTATAAACATTAACACCTTTTTAAGGCCTTTATGATTAAGCTACATCAATTTCAGACATTTTAAAGGTCTGCAGCCAGCGTGGTGAAAGCCTGGTAAGTGTATGGGTCAGATAATTTAAAACACCTCCGGGCCGTTGCTGTAAAGGCCAGCCAGTCTAAGGGAGTGATGATGTGATTCAAGCATGTGTGTGTGTGTGTGTATCCTGCAATAAGTAAAATAAAGTCTGACGGAGGTGAGGAGAGCCAGAGCACCCTAAATGCCTCGCTCTGCCTCTGCTACTGTGCATGAGTCAGAGGTGACAGCTGGATCCTACAGATCCCACAGATTTCCATTTCCTTTCTTCTCATGTTTGTCTGACACTTTAGCTCTTTTCCAACTCTTTTTTTTCTCCTAGATGGTTTTGGGGGCGTTAGTATATATAATGACAATACCATGTATGTGACAGCATGGTGTTTGAAAATAAAAAGGAGCTGCAGGAACTAAAGTAAGGAACTAAATCAGAAACCAAAAGTTTCACAAACATCTTACATTTTAACTGCATCTCAAGAACAAATATTAAAACAATAGTTTTAATTATGATGTCAATTTGATGTTTGTACAGATGTTTAAAAGGAGACGCACAGAGATGCAAAAAGGAGATTGACACAGAATTTCTCTTTAGTTAATAGTTTTTACATTTTTAGCATTAAAAGCAATTTACACCCTAAGTGTTCATATTGATACTAGTGCAAAGTTGTTGGGTTGATGGTGCAGGTTAACCTACACAGTAAGCTGAGAAGAGTTACATTTTTGGTGTTAGCAGCAGAGTTAATCTACCCTGACAGAGTCAAATCCATTATCTTTGACTCACAGTTGATAAGTAGTTGGTGTCAAAACCGAGTGTAAAAGCAAAGTGTAATTGTATAAATATTAACTCTCAACTCGTTACTCTTAACTCTGTTACACCTGAAGTGTTCATGTCACCCCCACTGCGAAGGCCTACACACACACCGGTAGAGTTTTCATGAAAGCACTGACTGCTGCGAATCTAGGGACCGTGCTTTTGACCTGAGTCTAAACTTTAACACTGTTTGATAAGTAAATGAATTAGTATTTGTTTAGCTGATATTTCTCTTGGTCTCTCACATGGCCGTTTTACAATGGTGAGCCATCATAACTTATGTCGCCATACTGTTAATAGCCACCGCACAGCTAGCGGTTAACCTGCATGCCTAATCTGTTCATTCTATAATGTAATTCTTTGAGGTGCAAGTGTTAAAATAAATGTTTTAAAACACCAAATGTGACCACCGTTACTTTCTTTTCCAAGTGTTTTTTTTGAGGAAAATAGAAGAGCAACCTTTGTACCTTTAAAATGTTATGGGGCTAACACTTGAATAGTTAGCAAATGATCCCCTGAGAGAGTTAATGTCTAACACTACTACACTAAAATGTTACGAAAAACTGGTCAGTGTTAGGAAGTGTTAAATTTTAACTCCCAAAAGTGTTGATACCTTAACACTCCCTGGACTCATATAGACACATAAAGTGTTAAAATCAACTCTGACATTGTTAATTTGGGTAAGCTTATTTTACTGTGTAACCTGTTAACCTAGAAAACCTCAGGAGCAGGAGATCTTTTGGGAGGCAGGAGCTAAAACCTGCACTAAAGTTCTTACAGTCAAAATGGAGAGTGCCTTAAATGTTCCAGAAAAAAGTTCCTTTGCTCAAAATGGCCATGGGGTAAATATTTTTCAGAGGAGGTCTTTTTGTTTTGTTTTTTACTTAACCAAGGCTTAAACTTAACTCGGATTGTGCAAATCTTGTAAATGAAATGATGGATGTCTCATTTTGGATTATGAAATGCTTCCTGTACTCACCACATGAAACACCTCAGCATCCTGAGCGGTGGTGAGGACCATCTGGGGCTGGAGGCCGGACTGAAGAAAGAAGCCATGAGCTGCCACCGTGCAGCCTCCGCTGTAGTGAGGGGGATGAGAACGGATGTTAGCGTCAGCATCAGACACAGTAGATCCCCACTGGGAGGGACCTGCTGTTAGCATTAGCAGCTTAGCCACTCGTCACCTCCTACTCGCTTCCTCCTGCTGGAAAACTAAAGCATTAATCTGTCTGGGCTCATCCACAAATGTTCTCAGTTAAATTCACCCTTGCTTTCTCTCTCTTGTACCTCCTTTTAGGCACGCACAAGCTGAAATTTGAAGGATCTTAGTCAAGTTGACATTGAGAAAGACAGATATCCAAATCATTTCTAAAACATCCAAAAGGTGTAAGCTGTTCAGCGCAGGCCACCACACGGATGTGGAGAAAAAACCTTTGTGGATTACAACTGACAAATATACTGAAAACCCCATTATGAATGAATATAACTCTGACCTGACGAAGGAACGTGATGGCTGGATGCTGTTGATGATGGGGTCTTGGTTGTAGGTGAACAGCACAGGGGCGTCACGCTCCACCGAATCCACTGTCAGCTTCACAAGTTGCTCAGAGGGAACACCGTGTGGAGGCGTCTTACAGGTCAGCATGTTAGATGACAAGCTGATGGTGGAGGAGAAAGGGGGTGAGGGGAATGAGTAAACACACAGGATATACTGTTGTGTTAGTATGTACAGTGGTAGCCATTGTCCTAGCCCCTATTCATGCGTTTCTCTTGCATTACTCCTGCAGATAATTCCTGATGGTTCTTGCTTGAGAGGGAAGAATGAGAAAAAAAAGAGCGAGAAAATAGGAAAACAATGACTGAAAGAAAGCAAGACTTGTCCGCTTTAACATATCCTCTCATTCATTTTCTCAGCAAAATTACGTTAATGTCAAAAGACATTTCAGTATGTCTAACAAAAACAACCCCTCTACAGCACATGTACATATACAGTGCAACTTCCTCATTCCTTTGTAAGAAAGACAGAAAAAGGCAAAGAAAGGCAAATTTTGAAGAGCTTTTCCTGTTATGAAGAATGTACAAATACAAAAGACAAAAGAAAAACAGAAAGAAAAGACAGGATAAATAAGTGTGAACTGACCTCTGGATCTTACAGGCTGCTTTCCCTATCGTCACCTCTCTCTTGTTTCCAGTATCCAGGAATGCTCCTCTTATGGTCAGCATGGTGTTTCCGGACTTCGGTCCGAATGTCGGGAAGATCTCGTAGATCACAGGGTCCTGGACGGAGACCACCAGACACTTTGAATAACTCAATTTGTTAAAGTGAAATTTCTCTGTTTTGACCACAAATACAGTATGAATTGAAGAACACAGATCAATCATTGATCGACTGCTCATCAGTGTGTGCTATCTTTCACATGTATATACTGTATGTTGTGTTTGTTTGTTTTTTTAACATAATGTCAGACAGATTAATTCATAAATTACAAAATACGCACATTTTTGCAACCAAAAATAAGGACAAACACCATTCTTACCACAAAGGTGAAGCCATCCATCTTGACCGACATGTGGCCACTGATGACCTTCACTGTGTGTCCTGATGGGGTGAAGTTCCCACTGAACACTGGGGAACACTTCAGCTCAGTCCACCTAAACACAACCGCCCCAAACAACACACAGACCAGGCATTATACCCTGCCACAGCCACCCAGCATTAATCCTAATTCAATGATCATCTACTGCAGTAAAACACAAAGAGGCCATCTTCATCTGGCATTGGGTGGGCGGTGTTTTTATTTATTTCCCCAGTTTGTAATGAGGTTGTTTGTAGCAAAAGGGACTTTTGAATGGGACATGGCCCCAGTGGATTTGGAGGAGCGGAAAGTCTGGATGCAGCGATTTTTCCCAGCAATTTTTCAGTTAGAGGAGTCATGCGTTGAATGCAGCAGACAGCAGGAGAGAGAGCGGGGCTTCTTAACATTCTTGCTTCAACACAATAACCCCTATTAAACCTACTCTGCCCCTATAGGACGCCAGTGTAGGGGTCCCTTTCTCTCGTAAACACCCACCACTTAACACACTCTGACTCTCAAAGGTGGCTTTTCAGATACTGTGCAGGAACAGTGTTCATTTAAACAGACATAAGTATACTAGTTTAACCTGCACACTCACTGCAAAAACTAGTACGTCAACAACTTCCCACAAAACACACACAGGCGTGGGATGCATTTAGCAAGATGTGGAACCTGTTTACTCCGTGAACCAAACAAAAAAAACACACACACACACACCTGTTGATATTGTCTTGTCTGGGTAGTTTGCAGGGAGCTCCTGCCACCTCCACTGTTACCAGAGAGGCCTTGAAGTTCTCAGTCTTGTCGAAGCCCAAGTTGCGCCCGCACATTGTCACCACTGTAGAGCCTCGTATAGGTCCCGAGGTCGGAAAAATCTAATGCATTCACAAGGAACATTTAACATTTAAACATTTAGTCATCGGTCTGCAGTCATAATCATAACAAGCATCAGTGGTGACCTACTCCTTTTACTTTCATACTGAGTCCTGTATGTATAACTGTTTTGGACTAAAAAATACAGTATTAGTTCTACACCAGCGGAGAAGTACCATAATCAAAATATCTGAAATTTCCCCTAAAGGGGGATTAATAAAGTTATATCTTATATTTGATCACCCAGATTTTGTAAGTGATACACATGTTAAGTATCCTGATATGAGATTTAAGAAAAATAAGCTATCAAGACACTGAAGAATAATGTTCATGCAACCTTTCAATTTAATTTTATTTATATAGTGCCAAATCACAACAATAGTTATCTCATAGCGCCTTTCTGCAGTGAGTTACGGCTCTTTTCATTTTCAAAGTCTGTGTGGTAAAACAGCCCCAGAGGAAGGTGTTTTTACAGATGCTTATCCAATTAACCCATCTTGTTGCATTTAGGGCAGAGGAGGTAGCTTATTGTTGTGTTTTTTTTATATGGAGAATAACAGCATGGGGTGGAACAAAGTCAGAAATACTGAATACCACCCACACTGAGCTCAATAAAATCTCACAATGTCAGAGCAGTGTAAAATAGGACAGTGCAGCTGTAAAAGGTCTGGTATTTCAGGAAGGACCATGACCTTCACAAATGCCACAATGTAGAGACAAACAGTGCAAACAGACCACAGGTTCAACAGATAGGTTATAGGAACTGTTTTTGGAAGGCGAGTTTGAACCCAGCATGATGTGATCACATGATGTTCCAGCAAACTGAGTCAGCAGGAAGGTGCAAAGTCACGTAAGTTAGATTTAGGTTCAGGTTATTTGCACAGTGTTGAAACAGCAGCTAAACAATTAAGAATTTATATGTTTAAATGAGCAAAAACTTCCTGCCCTGATTATCACTATGATCTAGTGGCTGTGGTTACCTTAGTGATGACAGGTGTGCAGTAGTCCTGGGTCCAGAGGGAGGAGGAGGGACACTGGCTGGCTCTGGTGCAGTGTCCATCACACCAGCCACATTCTGTCACCCGCGACGACAACAGACAGGAAGTACAGGTGGTCAGCTGACCACAGCCGGGGGCGATCAGAGGGACCTTAGTGATCTAGGAAGAGGACAGAATTGAAGACAGGGAGCATAATGTGACAACTACGATCTAAGAAAGTCAATTGTGTTTCCTCGTTTATGTCTAACATGAATAAAGTGTGTCAGACAGAAATAGATGGGGTTGCAGAACCCTTGCGGTAAGCCCCTAGGAACATTATTCTATTTTATCTGTTGGCTTGCTCCTGGTTTACTGTTGTTTATTTGCTTTCAATGAGAGTGTTTTTGTAATCATCTCACTAGAGCAATACATTTGTAAGGATTATGTTTTTGTTATGATTCAGAGATGAACCCAGGACAGTCTTAACCTACCCAATTTGTAGAATGGCAATATGTTCTGACCACAGGTGCATTTTTGTCCTTAATAATCTCTGTGTTTCCAAACCCACCTTGTTTCCTGTGGCCATTAGCAGGGCTCCATCTGAGTGTTCATCGCCTGGCAGTGCTACACTGGCGGAGACGGGTCTCGAGTCCAGGCGGATATTGACATGAGGAGAGGCAACTCGGGAGAACAACACCTGAAAAAAAATAGGACACGTCATTGCACTAGTCTTATTGTGGCAAAAACATTGTAATGAATCTGACACAGAGTATCATTAGTTGAGATTGACTGTAACTGAGATGAGCAATAAAGTCACTTTGTTGTAACAAAACACGAAACTAGCCAACTAGAGATGAGATCCAACAAAGAACAGAAACAACAAACATCAAGCAAACAGGTAACCAGACACCATTCAAAATGCTTTTGTAACAAGAATACTACGTCCTGAGACACTTTACTTTCCAATGGACAAAATATTAGCAAACATCAAAGAGAGGTCTCAACAGTAAACTTAAATCAGACATTTGGGTATTATTATTGGCACTGATCAACAACTTTCTTATAGGCATTTTTGACTGAAAATTTTAATTATTCATTCTTCAAAACATCTCTAGAGAAGACCCCACACATAGCGGAACAATATTTTTCTCTCCACTCGCTACTACTTCTGCTTCCTGTAGATGCAGCCAAACTTTGCCAATGCTGTAGGCATAAAATGAAAAGTGGGGTTTATAATAGCTACATATGTTGCTAAAGATACAGTATGATTTTGAAGCAACCAGCAGACAGGTCTTCAACAAGTCTTTTATTACTGCGCTAGCACACCTTGACTGGGAGTTGGTGCAGGAATATGATCCAGATTGTGTCTTTTTTTTTTTGAGGTAGTTCCTTGACCTGAATTTGACATCAAGCAGAGTTGTTTTAAAGTAACTCCATTACAATGTTTCCTCTTGGTGTCTTGTCAAGTGCCATAGTCCAGAAGAAATTGTGTTAAAAGACCTCACTGTCAACATTTTGTACTATAATAGCAGGAAAAGCACAAGTGTAACTAATACCACCTGCATATACAATTTCAGGGCTCTTGCCCTAGTACACTGAACTGGAACACAGCCATTATTGTTCATAGCTAAACCTGTGTTTGGCAAATCAAAATATCTGCTCTTTCAAAGATCTGGGGTTGGTTTAGAAGCAACCTTAATTACATGTAATTTAAAGCTGATTTAGATAATTTATATCAGAAGCAGTTTTTGCTATATTTATAATCCTGACAGCAATTGATAAATCAAATGCTCTGACACAAACATGAGTGTCCAATCCATATGTGGCAGTTGCAGGACTGTAATAAACTGGCCTACCTGCCTGCGTACCTGTGCACATTCTGCCCGTACACTCATATCACATGAAAATGTGCTCTGGGGGAGTGCCTTTGAAGGGAGGCCTGAACGCAGGGGATGGGATTTTTTCAGTTTGATACTTTAACGGGACATTTGATTAGATTTTATGGTAACTGGACACACACAACTTTTTCACTATGTTTCCATTATTTGAAGGTGTATATCACCAAAGCAATTTGCAAAAGTGCTTTTAAAAGGACAGTAAAGTATATGTTATTTTGTCTAATCTGCCTCTAACAATGGATGCACAACGTCAAGTAAACACTTGAAATTTTTGGAAATTCTGTTTTTTGTTATCTTTACGTTGCAAGTTAGATAAAGAGAACAATATCAATTTAATCTTTGTCTAGGTTAACAACCACTGGAATCAAACAGCTTGCTAGCCATCCAAGGTGACTTCAAACAACTCCAAACCTGTCTTTTAAACATGTATCTGTTTGTTTTTAACATGTGTAACAATAGAAAACAAGACATTGTGATGTAACAAGAAGTTAGCTTACATATTTTAACAATGGAAATGGAAACTGCACACACCACATCTAAAGTCCTGTCCTCATGGTGAAGTTGACAGTTTCGCAACCTTTTCTAACTCTACTAAAAGACTGTATTTGTGAATAACTTTGTTGCTAACAAGATGCAACATGTACATAAAACTGGGAGTTGTTGGAAGGCATATATTTTGCCTTTTGGCTTCGTGTAGCTGCGCTCCCTGCTTCCAGTCAATGTACAAACGTAGGATAAAAAAAACATAATGGAGCTACCTTTGTTCTTAAGATACACACATACATTTGATATTGTTTTCCCTCTAACTCTTAATAACACAACACAAGGACCTTTCAAAATGTGTATTTACAATTACTATTAATGGTTCATATTAGATTGCATCGACATTTTGCAGCATTTATCAGCTATGAAATTGGTCTGTCAATCAGTCAGCTTCGGCCTATACTCTGCCTGCAGTCACAAAATCTTTAATTAAATGTATTTTATTCGAAATACATCACTGTCTGTATCCTAATAAGTGCTTATGTGAGACACACACACACACACACACAGTCATCAAACCTGGAACAGCATTTATCATTTGCGGTTACACTGCAATTACAGGCCTGGGAGCAAACAGGGTCTCTAATGGGGTTGTGTGGTTGCTGCAGTTGAATGAAGCTCTCTGAATTACACCATTCCTCCATTGTGCACACACACACACACACACACACACAAATAGATATAGTCCACGGACAGACACAATCCCTCTGCCACGTCAAGATGAAGCTGCAATGTGATGTATCCTCCAAAAACATACAGTAGTACTGAAATTCTGAAAACAACAAAAACAAATCACACACCCACATGAAGCTGTGGCTGCTAATTGGAAGGTCGGTGGTTCAATCCCGGCTCTCCCAGGCTGCATGTCGAAGTGTCCTTGGGCAAGATACTGAACCATGAATTGCTCCTGGCGGCTGTTCCGTGAGAGTATGAATGTGTGTGAATGTTAGTTTCTGTTTGAGCACTTAGGCTCAGTGTATTAATGTGTGTGAATGCAGATGTAGTGTAAAAGCGCTTTGAGTGGTCGAAAAGACTAGAAAGGCGCTATACAAATATGGAGCATTTACATACAGTACAGCACACACCTGGCTGCCTGTAACAAACCGATGGGAGGTATGGTACGTGTGTGTGATTTATTGTGCTAGACAAAACACCACACAATGCACTTAAAGATATTTTCATCCACTCATTGTAAGTAACTATGCAACAGAGCGTCCAGTAAATACCTATAGCACTGCATTAAACATTTTAAATGTGATTTCTTTTGGTTAGCTGATACACTGCTCACCCTTGCCTCACCCTCAGAAATGCCTTGTTTTCCAGCATCATTCCTCCCACTGTTTAAACCTCATGATCAATGTTGGATTTTTAACAGCGAGTATAATGGGTGGCTTTCCGCTGGGGACAAGGCCATACAACAGGCATCTCTCTGGAGGTAATAGCGGTGTAAATTACAGCTTATTGTATTAAGCAGGCGGGGGGAAGTTTGGCCTATAAACACGGCCACTGTGTTATTCCCACAGTGGTCCAACTCAAGTAGAGGGAAACACTTCCTGAGCCAGAATGGAGTCCACTGGGGGGGAACAACGCTCTTTTTCTTTCACTGCCTCAACTCCATATTCCCTCTTCTCTCGTCCTCTGGGAGCAACCAGGAAACTGAAATACATGAAAAGTTGACAGGTTCTTTTTATCGTACTAACAATGAAATGAGCTGCCAGAGCAAAGACGACCACCACTCACATATTCTTATTGTAGCTTAGCTTTAGGAGAGAACAGGTGGCCGGAGGGTCGTCAGTTCAAATGCACGCCTTGGAAAATCAGTGCAAGGAAAGTGTCTAAGACATTGCAGTCAGACCTGGATACCTTTGAGCAAGGTGCTTAATGGATTACTTCAGTTTATTATATCTTCGTTCATACCTTCATGTAAGAACATGAGTCCACTTGAAATGTGGGTAATAATCCCTCATTTCACAGGAAGACTGTGAGCCTACCCCGCACTTCTTTAGCTAGTACAGTAGGTGAAAATTGAACCAGGAAGTCGGTCTGCGATGGATACCTTATTTTGTTTCCCACCAGATTTTTGATAATTCTCACTTGACGGACACAGCTTTGCATTAAGCCCTGCCCCCTACTCTGTCTCTGATTGGCTAACCCTAATCTTAAACCTAAACTTAACCAACTTAACCAATCTAACTAACGAGTACTGGCCAATCAGAGGCAGAGTTGTTGAAAATCTGGTGGGGGAAAAAAGCGTGATGATGGGTAACAACAAACAACAAGTCTTCTTTTTTGTTCAAAAAGTTTGGCTGGCCTGATCATCTTATGTTTACTCTGGAATTACGGTATCTTGGTGAGTACAATATGATTATTACTATCCTTTCTCTTGCTCAGTCATTTTTTCCCACTTTCTTTCTTTACTTTTCACTTGCTTAACATCTTTCCAGCTTTGTTTCCTTCTCCACCCTCTTTCGTTGGTCTCTCCGTCCACATCTCAACTTCAATCAAATTAATTCAGTTTATATCTATTTAACCTGCATGACTGAACAGAGACATGCTTTGCTAAAGCAATACTGCTGCAATCAGGATTATGTTTTCAACATTAGCTTTATTTTTACCAACATTTACGGATAACTAATGTTCAATTAATTATGTCAGAAATCTCTGTCCATCTCTGTGTCAATGACAGGCAGAACATACTTGATAAAATGGAGTGTATTGCAGTGCAGGGCAGCTGCTCTCCACTTCAGACCTTCTTAAACCCTTCAGCTAAAACAATGAACTTCAGCCAATTCAGCCAACCACAAAAAAAAAAAAAAAAAAAAAAAAAAAACTGAAGGAGGGTCTGGGAAGGAGGGTTGATGGTAGAGAAACAGCTGCATGGGACACTCAGTGAGCAGAAAATGCCGTGCAAGCGAATGTGTCAGCGAAGCCCCGCCATTCACCATTAACGTGCCGTTCGGCTTGTAAGCCCCGTTGCACCATACTACCACCGTCTCTAGCCCCCGTCCTTCCCTCCCACCCTTTCAATGCAGCTGTCGGCCCTTTTTTCCATGTCTCCCTTGCCTTTTTTCCCCCCATGCCTGTCTTTTCATTCTTGTGTTTCAAAAACACGTGAGGTAATTCAGCGTTTACTTTATGCGTTTAATTCGATGCATCGTAGTTTTCGGCCCAACACTGATGCACCAATACAATGTCACTCGCTGCACTTTACTCTGCAGCTGTAACCATTGCATGCATACAGTTGTACAGTTAAGAGTGAATTGACACAAAACTATAAACACCACATGAAACAGGAGGGAAAGTGACTACACTGAGTCATAGTCTGATATGCAGTTACACAGGCTATTCATACTGATTTAATTAGGTTGAATGCCAAAATGTAAAAAGTGTATTTTACACTGATGATCAGCACTTGTATGACTCTTCAAAACAAAATAATGCAACTAACAGACCTTCAACAGGCCAAATCCATATTTAAACTGCATGTGCAATGGCACTAAAAGCTCCAAAATTATTGTAGTGTAATTGTTATGTGCCAAGTCTGGAAAGTCATAAAAATGTATTCTCGCTTAACACTGATTGGGTGATTTGCGTGTCTAGACATGAAACTGGGATGCATTTGGCTGAAAAGAGAATGTTTTTTTCCAACATCTCAATTACATACAGCCACTGTTTCAAATGTATTTAAATGACCATATTTGAAAGACAGTTGAATGTAAATTGTCTGCCTGTCTCTCATGTCTAGACATCTTTTAATCTGCAAATTACAAAACCAGGAAGCCAAATACCTGCTAAAAGGAAGAGTGGTCTCTGACTCAAAAAATAACATGCAATCAAGGCCAAGGTGTTCAAGGAAGCATATCTGATGTGAACCATCGTGTGGCACAGCATGCGTGTAAATCTGACAGACTGATCACGCTGTAAACCGGCCGATTCCGGTCACAGGCTGATCAATCGGTGCATCTCTACCTAAAAGCAGTACTGACAGGCCATGTATGAGACGTTGAAAGCAGCTAACAAATGGATAGTTACAATTATAGGTGTAATGGACTGTGTTTGCTCAGATGGCAGACTGGAACATGGGCTTTTTGGAGGCTCACTGAGCATAGGTCAAATGTAAGCAAATTCTGCAAACAGAAAGGTCCTGTTGCTGTTCACAGTTTCCCCAAACCTGCCTCTAGTAGAGGCACCTGCAGCTGTGTGTTGTGTCTCCAGCAGGGCGCTTTCACTACTCTCAAACCAACGTCCTGAGGCATTTACATGAACAATTTCTATGCAAATAAGGTTCCTGCCAGTCTTTTAAAAACATTTATTGCAAATAATTACCAAGGACAGAACCATGTGACTTCTTTACCTGTATGTGGCGTCCGTCAGCGGTGCCCAGGTATGCCACTGCACGGCCATGGACTGGCACCACTGTGATAGAGGTAACCAGGGTGTTTGTCAAATCTTTTTGCCAGTACTCCAACCTTTGGACAAACTGGGTCACCTGCAGGCGATACTCGCCCTCTTTCCCTTCATGGATTCCCTCATGTGGGTCGCAGTCGTCTGATGAACTCTGCAAAGTAACCAAAGGCATCAGTCAGACAAAATGTCTTGTAGTGTACTCAAAGAATAACAACATAGACAGCGAGATTAATAGTGGAGAGAGTGCTTCTTATTGTAATTACAGGCGTGAAATGGATAGGACATAAAGCGCAGAAATCAGAAAATCAGTGTGGTCATGTTTAATATACCCCCCCCCCCCCCCCCCCACACACACACACAAAGTATTAAACTTTGCTTAAGAAGGAAAATCTGGAGCAGGAAGTAAAGACTATTGATTGCCACAAATATTAGTTAATGGACTGTACCATTCTTTCTGGGAATCGTCAGCAAGATTGGATCACTTTGTCCAAACAGACTGCTCTCCTAAAACTACTTATTATATAATATCATGTTGAACTATCTCCTTTCATATCTGGCCTGATGGGGGAGGGTTAAGAGCCAAACCTCCTAAGCTCCCCTTAGCTACTCTTTCATCAGGCTGTGCTCGTAATGGAGGTCTCAGTGTGATAGTACCTCAAGGGCAAGTATACTCTTTGTTGAACAGAAGTTTGGGGACGGCAGGATTTCATGGGAAACAGTGAGGAGACTTTCATGCTGTTTTTCATTCCATGAACTGCTTTTTCCCTCTCCAGCTGGGCAAACCCCATGTTTTTTCTCCCTCTTTCTCCACCCCCCTCTTTCTCTTCTTCTGTCTCCTCACTTGAGTTTTAGAAGCAAAATCTGTCACTCCAGTACCCCTTACTTTGGTTTTCAAAAGTCGCTGGGTAGTGCAGATTGTTGTGTCTGGAGCCTTTGGAGCATATAGTGAAAGCTCAGACTGTAGCCAGAGCTGGATTTGGGGGCCTTTCTCTATCAAATCCACCCCCCACCCCTACTCACTAGCCCTGCTCTCTCAGTGCTCCGGCTCTTTTTGTGTTTAGTCATGGCCTCCAGTCCCAGCCTCAAGTTTCATTAATTTTTAATGACCCAGAGGGTGCTGGGCCTCTTATGGCTCTTAAGGTCCTTGACCTGACTGCCTGACCAGGCCTGAGCTTTCTGTTGTTTTCTCAGCTTCAGTGGATGATGACCTCTTCACTGGAGTCACAAGGAGTGGGGAGGGAGTACAGGTAGAATGATTATGACATCCTGCAGGTGCCTTCATTCAGAGTACTTTAAATACAGTTTTAGCAGGAAACAACTAATCCTGAATGCAGTGTTTTCCTCACAACGATGTGTGCGATCTTGACCTTTTATTGTGACTTAAAGGGTAAAAACTGATCTTGCTGCATCAAAAAAAAGTTAGTTTTAATCACTTACAGACTCACAATCTCTTTCACCCTCTACCTAAAGCCCTGCCTGGGTCATAAGGCGATTATTTGTGGTTTGTGTGAAGCACGCTGCGTCATTTGTTTAGTGAAGATCTCAAGGGCAAGCTTTGAAGATGAGGAGAACAATGGTAGAGTAATAAATCAAGAAAGTTTCTTTCTTGGGGACATTACATAGCCGAGACGAACAGGGACGCACGAAGAGGAAAGCAGGGAAAAGCAGAGAAACCCTGGCTAACCGACAAGCACACAGTCACAAAACTTGGTTAAATTAAATGTCCTCAAGGCTAGTGGCTGCATTAAGAGAGACAATGGTTAGGTCAAACAGCTGTGAGGCGGTGCAGCCAGCTGATATGCACAGAATTACTTGGTGTTAAAGAAATGACAGTTTGTGACTGAAATTGTTTTTAAATTGGATAGAGATATGGACACGTAGGTAACAGAGGAGGGTTTGACAAAGTCTGAGAGCGAAGGCAGAAGAAACTTCTCAGGCTTCACAGGTTGTCTTTAATGTGTCAACCGGTGCTAATCACACTTTTAAAATGTCGATCAATCGTAACTCCTGTTTGCATTTTCCGGACTAACGGCTAGCACTGAGCACATATGAAAAACATGGGATTCTGCCAAGACTCTTCTCAAAACTACAGCAGATAGAGACATGATAGCTTTAGTGATTATGCCACGCGGCTCAAAAAACATGCCAAAGGATGATTATTTTCAGAGAAAACAAACAGGACTTTGGGGTGTTTGTTGAAGCGGAGCAGGATGATGGGAGGGAGGACTAAAAGGGTCTTTGGAGGCATTCCTCTGCCTCTGTTGAGGTATTCCTGAGGATCAAGGCAATGAAATTGGACAGTGGAAAGGCTGTTTTGACAAGCTTCGTTTGAAGCTCCGCTGCTGTTATCCTTGGCTGTTTCTTGGCACATAGACAGGACGTCACGCTGACACTGCCATGTAGACAAACAGGTTCCTCAAGAGAGTAAAGTATGACAAAAAGTCCAATAAAGAATTTAAATATATACTCAAATTTAACGAAAAAAAATTAGGGCTGTCCCCGTCTAAGGATTTACATAATCGAATCAGAATCGTGAAGTCCTGCCTATAGTCGACTGATAGTCGAATCATGTCACGTGTGTTTTTGTGCGTGCCGATTGCGAGCCGAAGCTAAACTAAGGCTTATTGTTGACCATTTTCTCTCTCTCTTTCTCTCGCCTGCCATTCACCGGTCTTGTGCAGAGTTGTCTGCCGACAACTTCATGCATGTCGTGGTTCCTCGCGGGTCTATTTCAAGTTGCGGCTGTTTAAAAGCGAGAAAATATTCTTTGTGTGGTTCATCAACAGTGATAAACTATCGACACAACACCAGTAAAGCTGTGGCTCCGTCTCTTCATCACGTTTTCCTCCTGCCACTACACACATCCACGCTATGCCTACACATGTGCAATGACGACCCAGGGTTAGGGTTCCAATTTTGGATTTATTCACGCACTTTAAAAACATTTATTGGAAGTTTTTTTTCGTTTTATATGTTTATTTACAACATTAAACGTTGAAATGTGTATTGTAATAGGCTGTATATGAACTTTTTGTGAGAAAACTGGTAGTTCTATGTAAAATCACACGTTGAGCTCCCTCATATCGCCAAAATTACATGATCCTTGTTTTGCTGCAAAGCTTCGACTGTGAGATTGACAGTCGAATCAGGCTCTGCCCAACGAAGCATCGAATCCCTACAAAAAATACAACAAAAAAATAAGTCTAGCAGAGAGAAAGAAAATAATTTTATTGACCATAAAACCATGTAATGGTGGTTTCAGAATGCTGGCAGCAGTTTTTAAACAAGAGCACGAGCTACAAGAATTTCAAAAGGTCGAAATGTTGGAGGTGTGAATTATTTGAAATTTTTCTACAGACTAATCTAGTTTGTAGGTGGAAGCATACAATTTGAAAAATTTCCAAAACCACATGCACTTGCTGGTATCAACTTACTGTGAAGTAAAATCCACAATTCTCTAAAGTCTGTGTTTATGATGATTTCCTCCAGTGTGTCACTGCCTGCACAGTAGTTCTACATGTTTACAGCACAAAATTACACTTTTACAATTTGTCATAACCAACTTTACACCAGTGTTTTGAGACTAAATAACTTCCACATTCAGACTGGTTACCTGTACCTATCAGAGGGGCAACTGCTCTCCGTTTCTACCATCGGTAAAAATTTGTTCAGTTCGACTCTGCCACTGCAGTAATGGTGGATAAATCCACTGGCGGATTTCTGATACTGGCAGCTACAAACACATTTTAGCCGATATCTGAAAAGTACTAAGGTTTCCCTAATGGAGGATCAATCACTGAGTAATGAATCAATTATTCCATAAATTACTATTTATACTGATTCAATTTGAAGTTTAGATGAGTTTAATGGCCATTTTTCATCTCTCTCTTACATTCATCGTTTGGAAGATTTACAGTGTTGGAAGTGTTCCTGATGTTCTACATCTTTCAGGCCATTTTTCGAATGTGTCTTTCACCTGTAGAACAGGCACCGTGGGGCAGATGTGAAATATTGTACAGCTTTTGCCCCATACTTAACCAGCAGCCATTGTCCCCAAAACAACGGCATGGCGATAGGGTTTCTGTGTCGTGGAGCTCCTAAACCCTACGGCATTGCTCAGGAGAGTCAAGAGGGGGTGAAAGGTGATCCGCGTGGTCTAATGTCGTTTTCATACTCTCACTGTGGCCTCTGGGTCCTGTGTGAATAGACACACTAATGCCTGAATTATAAACCATGGACTAGGTTACTGGCAGGAGAGGATTTGGATACAAACACTGTCGCTGCCGTGCAAAAATAGGGCTCTTGCTAATGTACAAAAATACACATCATGTTGCAGAGGCTTGGCCCAAGTAAGCACACTTGCACACATGCACAAACCCATGGAGTCTGTCTCGTTGCTGGCTGCTCAGCTGGCTCCCTCACTGGAATAACAGACCTTTGACCTCCGGATTGCATGTGATATTTGTGCACTTCAGACAGCGGAGAGGTTTGGTTGTCGTCGGGTTGTGTGGAAATGCATTTTTCAGAGAAAGTGAAATGCAAAAGAATGTGGAGTGCACATATAGGTCTGTGTGTGTGTTGGGTGGAATGTATTGTTGTTGTAATGTTGGGACACACATTACAGTACTCCACCTGGACTTAGGGTGCACGTTATTCTGTAACCTGACCCTCAGTAGCTGTAATGACCGTGACGTGTGTGTATAAGTACGCAGGTGGCTGGTCGCTCCAAGCACATGCAGTCATGTGTTAATGTGTGTTTGCGTGTGTGTATTGCTGTAGGGGTCATGGTGTTGGGGACAGTTAAGGGAGTGAGAGAAGCTGACAATAAGCCGAGGACCGACCCTGGCACTTGCAATGCAGCTGGCCTCGCCCTTGAGTGGCCCCCCAGACGCCAGGCAGGACTTTGTTTATTATGGGGTCCTGAGGTGGGTGCAGGCAGAAAAATGGCCTCACACATAAACAGCTCCAACAGAAGGCACGGAGAATAATATGTGGAGATTATAGTAAAATTAGACATCCTGTTTTTCAGAAATGTAAACAGTTATAATTGACACTATTTCAAACCCCTTTGACTTATGTGACAAAAACATGCGCTCTGAACCTGTTAGCTTTTTTCAGGTTGATATTTTCACATTTTGACACATTTTCCAT